TTTTCGTTGTAGTTATAGTCTAGGAGTTACTCATCTCCTATTTCTTTCTCCAAGATTCAGATGGATCTGTGATCTTTCGCTTCGGATTCTTGAGCTGCGGTCATCTTGATCTACTTCACCGAACACAAGGAAAGCTCCAACCTCGTCATCTTGAACTGAACGAGGAACTACACCGAACACAAGGAAAGCTCCAGCCTCGCCAAGTCTACTTGGATTTACGGCATCAAGGTTTAAGTACAACTGTAACCTCGACCAGTCTACTTGGGCTTGGATTTACGGCATCAACGTCTAAGTACTGTAAATAGTATAAGAGGCAACAAAATTCAGAAGGGGCCTCTGGGTCTCAATCTGAAGAAGCACGGGTTTCGTAGTTTCTTCATGTCAAGGACGAATAGCACCTGTTGTGTTGCTGTGCCAGTCGCAAGATATTACGTAAAAAACTCCATTTCGCGTAGAAGTCACAAGAATTTTCTACTTCTACCACGACCTCATCACGACGAACTAATAATCTTCTCACATCTACTTTACTTCTTCTTCGCTTGTTTCTTGCGCTCCTGTTCGATCAGCTTGCGCACTTTCTTATACTGGTTCTTGGTCAATTCTTCTCCGTTCCTATCGTGGGTCGGAAATCCATCTTGGTCGAACTTGCTGTAAAGCGCTGGATTTCTCAGATCTAGTTCGCCGTCTCCTTCTGAAGTTGTTATTGTTGCACCTGACGCTCCTCCTGCTATACTAGAAGTAGAGGCATTTGCACCAGCTCCTCCTGCTTCTGCACCAGCAATACCAGATCTTGTCGTGCTGGCTGTTGCACCTCCTCCAGAAGACAAGGAAGAGGAGGAAGATGCGGTGCCGGTGGTTGTGTCAGCACCTCCACCTACTACTTCAGTAAAGGTTCCATCTTGTCGTAGAATATTGGCTGTTTCTGGTCTTCTAAATGCTGGACAGACGGTCTGTACTCGGTAACCATCAGGTCGCGGTAACGGCTGATAAAATCCAGTTACAGTAGGAACACAACGAAAAGTTGGAGCGCCAGTCATCGATAAGGAGCCACTCGTTCCACGAGTTGGTGGTGCGAATGCAGCAGCTGTCTTTGAAGACAAAGTCGTGCTTGACGCCGTTGCTGTTATTTTGGGATGCAATTTCAAAGCTAAACAAGAGGCAAGGTGGTAAAAGGGAAGGAGCAAGCATGAATAGAAGATGTTCAAGATATTGATATTGTCAATGACGTTGAGTATCATAAAAGAAAAATGCTGAAAATAAAAACTTTCATCTCTCACAGGCGTTACATTTGGTCTCCATCAATTTGATCTCTCTGCTCGTCCATGATCTCAATCTTGATATTCACTGAGTGAAACAGAATAAGTACCTCCTCCAGCAGCGACTACACTTCCAGCCGCTCCTACAGCCGAAGCAGCGTGACTAGTTGCACCTGTTGACGGAGGTACCATGACCCGCTTCCCAAACAAAGACGAAATGTAGGCCAAATCCATACTCATCTTTTTCGAGCAGACACACTTGTTGCGATGTAGAGTTTGTTGCGCTGCGTTTTTTACAACTCCAATCGACGACTAATCTGTTCTTGTTGTTGATCTAGTATGAGTATAAATGCACACGTATCTATTCCACCAAATAGAGCTACTTCTTCTACATTTACTGATGATTTGAATCTATTCGGCGAGCTGCCTAAGATTTCCCTTCTTCTACATCTACTACAAAATGCAAAATAAAAGGACATCAAATTCTCTTTTTCGGGCAGGCGCTGACCGGATTACAAGAAGGATCCATTCTATAATACAAGCTGTGATGCAGAACCTCGTACCGAAGCGACCGTGGCCTTGAACATGACTTCATTATGACAACAACAGCATTCTCATTCTTCAAACTCATTCTGAGAACCATACCACATAGCTGTTCAGACTTCGTCAAGAAGATCGTCTTTGTTTTTTCCAAGAGATCAACGTTTCGTTGGACGATGTCATTTCCACCATGATCTTCGTTCTGTATAATACATAGATATCATGTTTATGACCCAGCAGAAGCGAGCAACTGACCTCCCGTCGATCAGGCACATGCCAGCTTGACGATGGTCATCTTCAAGACCTCCAACGCAAAGAGGATTAGCGTTGAACAACATCAAGACCTTGTAAAGAGTCGATTTCTCAAGTTGGGAGGGAGAGCGGCAAGCAAACAAGAATCAAGCCGGGACACAGCTGCTCAACATCATGCGGTGCTATTTCATTTGCTTCACCTGCTGGGTCGTCGTGGTCTATAAATTCTTGTCGCAAGCAGGGAGGTGGCAAAATAAAAATAAAGATTAAGATTCCAATGTGTTGACATCTAACTACAACAACTAGCACTACGTTCGATTTTCAGTGCGTCGGCAACATGGGATGAACTGCTCATACATAGAACAAGTAGAAGATCAACCCCTCTCTCAATAGAAGTATTTTATCTGGTCTTCAGTTTCAGAGCGCTTACTGATGAGTTTGAGTATTCTCATACATAATAGGACTAAGAATCAAGAAATCGAATTCTGTAGTGTTAACCTCATCGAGCACTTTTCTTAAATTCTAACAGCACACTCACGTGTAGTCCTGTAGCAGGTTTATAGTCCCTGTCCTTCCTCTTCCCACAGAAGGTACTACACCACGCGCTTCCTTGTACTTGGAACAAGTCTTCAACCCTCCAGAATACTTTTCCACACACCACACCAACACCCATTTCCCACTTCCAACGACACATCTTCAACTACATTTTATTTCCCACCTGCAGGACCACATCTCCCTCTACTTCCCACCCGCAGCAAGATGCATCGTCAACTAGTTCCCAGCCGCAGCAAGATGCATCGTGAGTCTTTGATCCAACCACGGTCCCATGTTCGCAATCATTTTCCAGTACGATTTGGTACTAAAGGTGAACATATGAACGTTACAGTTCTCGATAGTCACCAATTTCTTGTCCTTCGCATCGGTCTGGGACTCGTTTACCAGATTAGAGGTAGTAATTGTAGCTGCAGGGTGAGTTCTACTTGTACTTGACTGAGTTGATAGATTATCAAAGACCACTTTCGCTTTTAGCTATAGCTTTCCAGGAGGTCATCTGAATATCATGTGAAGGACGACGAATTCAAGTTGTCTATCAGCAATACTCTCTGATAAAAAAAAGAAGACCTGCTATCAACCAAACAATAGCAATACCAACAGATTATAGTGCCAGCAACTACACTCCTCAAAAAAGAACTGTAAAAAATTCTGAATTTCATCTAGACTCTTAACCAAAGCGACGCCACCGGAAGGAAAGCAGACCCGATCTCCACTTGACTGAACGCAAAGAAACGGAAACTTCACGTTCCTAAGGTTTTTGAAGTTAGAAGACAACGAGAGGAAAGAGTGAGGAGCTGTACAACTAGGAAGATCACGATGAAGATGTGGATTGTAGTCCAAGACCTAATTGACCATGATCCTGCGCAGAGATGGGCTCCCCAGAGTGGAAACTAGACTCAAACTGTAAATTTATCCACGACCATAACTCTCACTTGTATGTTTTGCTCCAAAAGGGTCGCTGCTGTGCGCATCCGAAAGGGGCAGCCGTTTGCATTGTAGCAATGCTTCGGATCCGTGATATTCATCTCCACTACAGGATCATCGGTGAGAAGAGAATACTCTGGGGAATTAGAAGTGGTCTGCGTGCTGTTGTCCCTGTTGCCATCGTTCACGATGACCGTAGAGACGTGGTCTGACAGTATTTCTATGATGGGTATTAACTTTCCGTACTCGCTCTTAATGTTTATCGGCATCAATCTGGAAATCCAAGTCGGGAACAGCGGAGCCAGAAGGTGTGTAAACACCCAAACGACCGGCGCGGGTGGAATATAGGCATGAATCGCTGGTGCTTGAAAGATGATTCCGAGAAAATTCTTCTTCTTCTCCTGAAGTCGTAACCCCGTTAGCAACGACACTTGTCCACCCCATGACTCACCAAACAAGAAAAACGGCGTGTCTTTGCCCTTGATGTTCAGAATGTGGGGGGATTAGAAGTGGAGAGACTGTGTACTTGTTCCTAATAGTATAGCACTTCCCGATCTTCATAGGAGTACTTGACCAGAAACTCTCGTTCTTGATGACCCTCAACTACCAAGACGAACTTGTACTTCTGCTTCTGATAAACTTCTAGTAGTACTGCTTCTCCGAGTATTCTCAAGTACATTAATCATGCTTATGTGCCCACCATAATCAATGTAGTCTTCGAAATCGTCGATAACATCGGTTGGTGAGGGTAGGTAGTGTTTGCACCCCTCTTCCTCTGCGATATAGCCACCGCTGTAACCATGCGCCACAGCATCGTAACCGTATACATCAAAACCGTCAAGACTCAAATCGTGACGGGCATTAGAAGAATTATACGTACATTTAGTCAGGTTACAACTACTTCTTCTTCTTTCTCCCAGGTCCCCATTTCTTGGACGTGGCAGTGGTCATTGTGAATGTACTCGAAAAACTAAAATAAGCGAGTAACAGACGAGAATAACCGAGATACTGTAGAGAAGGAAGGGTAGCCTTGATGTTATAAGCTAGTGCCTCCCTTATTTCAGTCAGTAACTCGGTTATTTTGAGTTTTCGAATAGTCATCTCGTGCTAGACGTCTATTGATTTTCATAAAAAGAGACCATGGTCCCAGTACGTGGCCGCTGACGTTCTTGTACGCCTCACTGACGCATCCACCGATCCCATGATGGTAAAAGACGATGGCATTTTTGTTCCCCTTGTTACCTTTGCTGGTTGATCCCGAAGCCTCCTCTTTTGGTGGAATGGCTTGGGCTTGGATTAGAGGTGGTAAAAACCAAAAAAATGAAATGACTCAGAAATGGTAATTGACGTATTCTCCCTACTATCTAGATTTTGTACTCCCAGAGCAGTTCAGACAAAATCTACGTGCCTCGCGTTTTCGAGTGGGTCTCTTTTTATTAATAGTAGACACCTGCTCCCTAACTTAAACGTCCGTGTGAACAATTTGTAGCCACGTTTTGGGGTCCAAATGCCGATCTCACTCTTGTCCCAGTCTGGTTCTTTGATAGGCATATCCTTGCGCGGAATTTTCTCATGGAGTTCCGCAGTATCCGCTAGTCCTGCCACCGTAAAGGGACGTTGGCGGGAATGGTAGGGAAGTTAGAAATGGAAGCAAAGGTAAGGAAGCAAAGGTAAGGAAGCACAGGTACAGAAGCAAAGGTAAGGAAGCAAGGAGTGAGGGAAGCGAAAGAATTGATAGATACTTAAAGAAAGAAACTGGAAATATAGAAGGTGATGGAAAGATCATTCCTGAGAGAGAGCAAAGGCATATTATGATATCAAGTGTAAGAAACAACACGCACGTACACGTTGTCATTTGTTTTTGTGGTTAAGAATCCGAATCAAGAGCATTCATAAGACACAATTCGATGGAGAATGCTACCGATAACGGAGAGTATCATTCGTACCACGGCAAGAACAGAATCCATAGCCGTCGACTCCTTAGGTGCGACTTTCGCAGTAGCACCAGACGAGTTTTTCTTTGGAGGCGCCATCTTTTGAGTCATTTATAGACTTATAGTTGGTTCTTCTTAGAGTAGAAGAGGGAGCGGTTTACTGATAACTAGACGTATGTAATTGACGGTGTATCCAAATCCAATAATGAGATTGAGCAGGGCAACTAGTTTCTCAATAATCATCAAACCGAAGGAATCAAAAATTCTTCAAAAATCAAAAGTGGAGAAAGAGCAACAAGGGCCCCATAGAGTTCAAGATAACCTCTCTATAACTCGATCTAGCTTCATCTCCTGCATTTCCAAGGAAGTGGCAAAAGAGGGATCAGAGAAGAGCGGATCATCATGTTGCTAACTTTGTACTAGATGCTCATCTTCAGTGAGTTCAAAAAAGAAAGACTATGGTCGCGGTTTTCAGTGGCGAACATCCTCAAAATTGATATTGCTCTACTTAGCCGAAGGCCTCTACCTAGCGAGTACCATCCTATCAAAGTACTCAGGCATGATACAGTGCATCGAATACAATTCTTCATCAGCGTTCTTTTCATGTCATTTATTTTTGTTAGTTCTGCAAAATCAAAGTTCTTTCCACGATGTTGCTGCGAAGCCAAATGATATTCTCAATTCCATTCGTCACGAAGGCAAACATTTTTGTCATTCAATGACCATGTCTGCTCAGTCCTGGCATGATCCCGGATGAAAATTATGAAGCAAAAATATGTCATCTTCTATATAGATTGATATGGGTTTCTATCATGACAAGAAAATTAGAACCAATTAAGTAGCATGGTAATCTAAAAACATGAAGATGCCTCAGTCAACCTCCCAAAAAATCCAAAACCCCCAAAAAATCACCCACGCAAAACAAGCTCATCTTCATTCATCTAGTTGTAGAGCAGGGCATATAAGAAGTTCACAACTTCATACAAAAATACTACTACACCAGCTTCCCCATCCTAAGCAATCGTAACTCTTCCATTTCGTCTGCTAAGGTAGGGATGTCGTTAACCAAGAAAGGATCCGAGAGATCGTAGGCATGCTGCATCACCTCGCCAACATTCCGCTCCATGGTGAAAGATCCCGTATTCGAGACGTGCGAGAGTTAGCGGAGGAAGGAGGAGGTTGGTGGGGGTGTGACGTCGTTGGAGTTGGAGGGTGTGGTTGTACCAAACTTTTAACACTGATGCCGTAAAAAGTTGTACCTGTAAATGATGAAGTAGCAGTCGTGCTGTTCTTTCATCTTGATTTTTCAAATAGTTACTCTTTCTGTCTCAGTCTCTGACTCGACCTTGACGCCAATCCATAACAATAAGCTGCCCCCGTCCGCACGCACCTGGATAACTCTTCAGTCTTCCCCTCTCGCACCAGTTCTTTCTGTTTTTCACGTGACAATAGTCCCATTTTTCGTGGATCCAAACATAAACTGCGATGGTCCTTTCCTTTTCCACGTCGTACTCCTAGTCCTTCTTTTCCCGTCTTCACTTGCTCCTTCATTTTCATTCGTTGGCGCTGGTACTCACGTTCGTCTTCGTCTATTCCAGAAGATGAGTCACTGTCGTATTCTTGATGCGATACGGCTGCTTCAGATGAATCTGAAGATGATGATTCTCCTTCTATCCACCTTTCCCCGTCTGAGGCCTCTTCTCCGTGGTCTACTTCATCGTCCTCAGCAGGAGGAACATACAGTTCGTCATCGTCATCTTCTTCATCTTCGTCGTCGGAAGAGGAAAAGAAGGAATGAAGAAGTTTTAGATCATCCTCGCTTTTATTATTGTTGAGAAGATCGTCGTCGTCGTTCTCGTCGTTGTTGGGACGAAGATCGTCGTCGTCGTCGTTCTCGTCGTCGTTTTCGTTGGAAAGGAGATGAGAAGGTAGTTCATACTCATCGTCTTTACTCGTTATAGTGGTGTTTTCATCTTCCTCCTGCTGCTGGTCCACATCATCTTGGAGTTGGTCTGCTCTCCTGGCTTCCTGACCACGAGACGTAGATCTGGAGCTAGATGACGATTTAGCACCAAAAGACGCAACACCTAGAAGGACTCCATTACCTCCACGTCGTGGTCCTTGTTCGAGATCATTCTTTTCTATTTCATCTCCCACTCCAGGTTCGCTTACAGCCTCATCGTCGCACTGCAAGAACCTTCGCTCCTTCTGCTCAGGCGAAATAACCCTATTCTCCTTCTTTTGTACTACTGGGCGTGAAGACGATGTTTGCTTTTGTACTAGATCAGACGAGGAATATGTTGAGAAAGATGTTTTGTGCTGCTCAAAGCTCAGATTGCAAAAACTGATATCCATCTCGTCACTGACTCTACTTTCCGAGAAGGCGGTGCGTTGACCGAATTCCGGTTCCAATCGCTGTGCCGATTCCACAGACATGTTCAGCTTGTCCTCCTCCCAGGCAAGAAGAGTTGTAGATCTAGATATCGCATCCTGTTCTTGACCATCGTTGTTCTTGAAGTCTTCATCCCGCTTATTCACGGCGATGCTTGGCGTTGCTGTAGGGACGTTTAATGCATCTCCTTTTCCGGACTTACTGCTCTCGTTTTTGGACGTAACGTCTACATCTTCCCTCCCATCTTGTTCCAACTCATCCAGTACAATAACGTCAACAGCACGCGGGCGTCGACCTGCTATACCGACATTACCACTGCCGGAAGTTCCACCGCTACCACCACGAGCACCGCCACCATCACCAGTAGGTGCACTTGATGATGTGGTCTGTGCCTGTTTTCCAGGCTTGGTATTTGATGTCTGCCGTATTCCTGCAGGCCCGGTATTCGATGTCTGTCGTATTCGCGAAAAAAGAGAAGGGTCCATACCCTTCACACCAGCCCTGAGGAAGGTTGCAAAGAGACCTCGCGTGATCGCAAAGCGCAGTTCCGCAAGACGAGCGAAAAACCAACTGCGATTCTCTAGGGAAATGGTCACGGTAAATGTCATTGCCGGAGGACGAGAGGGTGTTTGGTTCTTGTGTTCCTGTTGTAGTATTTGGAGGTCGTGATGTGGTTGTAGATCAACAAGTGCGGTAGTACAACTACTTACGAAGCGGGATGAAGATGCTGCTGATGCCAAATGCGAGCTAAACATCCATGAGGAAGTATCACCAGAAGAGGAAGAAGAACTTCCACAACCTTCAAAGGCGGCCCCAACTTGTTGAGCTTGGCCTTGATTTTCGTTGCTAGTCTTCTTTCCTCGTCCACGTCCTTTGCCTTTCTTCGCAACAGGTGGAACAACAGTCACAGTCAACGCCTCTAGATTGTTAAAGCCTTCTGCAAAAGCGTTCTCCAAGGTAGTCAAAGCCAACACTGTGGTGCCTTCCTGCAGTTGCACGTTCATGGCATTGGCTACTTGAGCTTGTTGATGCTGCACGCAGAAGTCCAACGTTATCTGGGCTCCATTGTTGCTCAGATTTCGCAAATCACCGGGATGCGGCAGACAGCACATCTATGAAGCGAAAAAGTGTACTCATCCTCAAGAAAGTAGACACTTTCGAAGTAGGAAGAAGCCTCTTTTCTTGAGTATGAGTACACTTTTTCGTGTCATAACATCGGATCGATCTTCATTTGTGTACTAGGAGTCGGAAGGAGGAGGGGAAAAAAATTATCGCGCACAATTTGATCAGCAGTTTGTTCCAGCGTAGGTTTTTCTTCCTGTACACCACTTGTAGTTGAATGTTGACGTGGTGAATGTTGACGTCCATCGTAGCTAGGATCATCCTCTTCTGAAGATGAGGATGAGTCATCTCCATGATCTTGTCCAAACGACCCAAACCCCAAGCCACTGCTGTTGTACTTTTTCAAGATCCTGCTGACTTCAGACCTGTTGGTTGTCTTGCAACTAGTAGTTCTCGTAGTTCTTGCCTTTTTATTCTTCCGCTTCCCACTGCCTTTTTTCTTCGAAGCCAACATCTTCAAAGCCAATTGATTCTCCATTTCCTTCCTGACGGCAGCTTCGATTTCGCTTTGGACGAGAGTCCACTGTGACTTCGTGTACGCTGCAATTGTCTCCAAGGACGTAGGATACGGCACAACCGATTCCTTCCGTTCCTCCTTTTCTTGCTCCTTCTGTTTTCCTTTTCCTTTAGTTCTTGTATAATTTATAGTTTTTGCTTTTGCTTTGGCTCCTTTCGGTGTACTTTTCGAAGTAGTAGATGGAGCATTTGGTCTTACTGTGCTTTTAGACCTAGAAGAAGCAGTGGTGGAACAGGAAGAACGGGTACTTGTAGAGGTAGAAGATTGCATTTGTGATGTTGCTTTCTTGGAAGTTGAAGGATCTTTAGTATTTCTATTTGGCGTTACGATCGGTGTTGCTCCGGCAGGAACACCTTGTTCAAAAGCACCTTGTTCAACAGACTGCGACCGACTACAGCTGGGAGAGTTCTTGTGAAGATCATGCTCCTCTTTTACACAACTTTTCCATCTTCCTGCGATTTTTCCACGAGGTACGGTTGCACTTGTTCTTGCACCAGTAGTATCATGATCACTAATATGTTGATTTTTATATAGTTGAAGTTCCGCCGCAGTAGGTCGCTTTTTTCTAACCCCTTTTTTGCTTTTCATCCTCATGAACTCCGCAGTGTTGACAACGATACACTCCTCGTCATCGTCGATTTCGATTTTTCGCCTCTTAGAAGGAAATCTTCTTGTAGATGACATGGGGATGGAAGTATTTTCTGCAGTATTATCGTCACCAGTCCTCGAAGTTCTTGTCCCTACTGCAGCTATCGTCCTCGGAGTATTCTCATCAAAAAGACTCCCTTCTTCATGTAGTAGTAGTTGATGCTGATTCCGCTTCCTTCCTCTCGCAGACGTGGTCGTGCTGGTACGCTTGTCGTAGTTTCTGGTCCTTTTTGTAGGAAATAGAGCATTTTGAATCCGTGCGGACTCCATAGCGGCGATCGCGCGTAGTTGCTGCTGTTGCGCAGGAGTTGCCTCCTGGAATTTGAGGAGGTCGTTCATTTTTTCTGCTCTGTTGATTTCAGTAGATTCAAGAGTGAAAAAAAGATGTCAACATCGATTCTTTGATGTGAACGAAAACGAAATGTTGCAAATTCATTAGATTAACGGACGCACGATAACGATGGATGAAAAACACGACATTGTGAGGCATTCTTTCTCGAGGATGATCACCCGTCGACTTTTCCGAGCTCTCCTTTTACACGTCAGCCCATGCTTTTTTCTGCAGTCTCTCTTCTGGTCATATTTCATCGGCTTTCTCTTTTCAATTCTCTCTAGTACAGGTCCATTAAACGTCTTCTAACATCATGATGCTGGACCTTTGCCTTTCAAGTTTCGTAGGGCGACTATCAATTATCTAGTCCTCCTTGCTGCATCTTCTTCAGTGACAACGGTTTCGCTCGTCAATAACAATATCGTCTTCAAGGTTTCAGTCAGATTCTCTTGGAGGCCTTAATATTTCTTCAGTTGTCATGTTCGCACATCTTCTGTAAATGGTGTAGGTAACTCGAAGACAACGATGTAAAAACAGGAGAGAGAAGTGTATCAAAAGTACGCTTTGAGTTCCTGATGGTCCTTCTACCTGTACCAGTGCCTCAACTTCTCACAGCATTTTGAAGTGGTAATATGACGGTACTATTGATACTACTCATCAAGAAGTCCACCTTTCTACTTATCAAGTCAAAAAATTCCCTAGAGCGCTCCATTCCACCATAGAAGTAGACCCAACAATCTAATCATCTATCCACTGCTAGCCAATCGCATTTCCAGCCTTCCTCCGTGGCTTGAGTAGCGGCAAGCCTTGTAAGGCGTATAGCTGACACCAAGCAAATCCAGGCTGTCTAAGCGGATGCCGGAAAGGGCCCAGCCACGGACTGTGTAGTCTATCCTTGCGACACCTTTCTCTTCCCAGGGCACGTCCGCTTCATTGGTTTTCGGACGGAATGAAAGGGGAAAGATGAAATTGTAGTTCTTTTGGTATTTCTTACTGTTGATGATGTTAGTCCTCGATTCGCTATGATGGTTTATCTTACTACAAGTACAATGGTTATTATTGAGTAAGCTCCTCTGTGCTCTTTGTTAGTCGACATCGTTTGCTGTTGTTGCTGTTCCACCATCGGTGGTGGAGGAATGCACCATTCCTACTTATCTATCAGAGTAATTTTTCATAAATTCGTGTTATAGCGCAGCATCGCTTTGATGCTGAGCTTGGACTCCAAGTTGCCGATGTCAAACTGCAGAAGCTTCGACTTTTCGTCAAACCTGCCAACAGAATCGAAGTGGACTCCTGAAATTGCTTCCGGCACGCGGATTTCGACCTTGAAATTCTCTACAGCCACTTTATTAGTTCTCGTGATGGACAGTCGAGGACAAACCTCAAGGTCCAAGAGCCCACGGTCGGAATGGTACCTGGAGAGAAAGGAAATAGAAATTGGCTTCAAATCATCTAGATAGTGATTCGCTTCAAATCATCTAGATGGAAGATTGTGATTCGCTTCAAATCATCTAGAAGCATGAGCACCATTGTAGAAGGAAAAGTGATGTTGTGTTTGACTTCGACGGTCGTATAAATATGGTCCTCCTCCGATGAAAGAAAAAAGTGCACTCACACTCAGAAAAAGTGGCTATTTTCCTACTTAAATCCTAGCCAATTTCTTGAGTGTGAGTGCACTTTTTCGCTTCATACCTCCCTGTCCCACAAGTCAAGGAATAAATCAAAATCACAACAAGAAAGTAGTACGCCAGCGTTCCCTTGAAATGGAAAGGCAGTTTCAGAGACGTGTCGTTTATCCAGTAATTCGCTAGTGGGAATTGGCCGTCTGGAGGGATGAAACTCAAAACGCGATCCCTATCGAATTTCGCCAGCCGGACGCAGGGGAAGGATTAGAGACCATACATTTTTCGGATCCTGTAAGTCCTCATCTGATGAAGAGATGACAAGCACTGCCTAAAAAGCTTACTCGTAAGTACACGAGACAAACACTGCCTAAAAAGCTTACTTGTAAGTACACGAGACAATAAATACTGCCTTTTTTAGTAAAAAGCTTACTTGTACCATAATGAAAACTCGCATTCTGCAATATCGAGGCATCGCGCAAAGAAATTGAGATCTCTGGCTGCGCACCGCTCAGTTTCGTGGTAGCTAGCATTTCGCCCAAGATTCCGCCTGAGACTATGTGCCCATTCTCGTCGAGAATCATATCAGCTCGTTCGCACGTGTCGATATACACCTCATTCGTGTTGTAAACAGCATCTGCTTTGCGCCACAGAGATTAGAAGGTATGCTCATTCTTGTGCTAGGTAGCGGGGTGGAACACGATCAGTCTAGATGATGGACGATTGTAGTAAGTTTAGATTTTTCACGAGTGACCCAGAACTAGTACCATAGTCCAACTTACTCACACTTAAAACTAGCACACGATCCAAGATGAAAAAGTCAGTATCGGCCCTTTGCCGCCACCCTTCTCATAACAAACTTCATCACTTGGCCCGCCTATTCTTGTCGGAGTATTCCCAAGCGCTGCGCCAAGTGTACTCGAAAGTGTATTCCACGTGTCTTCGATCAGAGAACCGGAATTTGACGCATCTGGTGTCGATCGTGTTGTCTTTTACTTAGTCAAGACAACAACCTCAGTTAAGGAATGAGAATGCTTCCTCAGCTCAGCTCATGGGACATAGTCGTTGATGATCAGTCACAAACACAATCACAGTCACTGTTGTATAGTCACAAACACAATCTTCACTGGTGTCATTTTTGAGTTATAATCTTCAGTACTAGGTTGCGAAGCTTGTGGTGCTGCAGTGTCGTTTCTAACGAGATTGGGTTTCCCACCAGCCACCACCTGCGTGACCTTTTTCAGCGTTGAAGGCGGATCAATTATGGACTCCAAAGCGTTCAGCTCCAGTGTAAAAGGTGCCCCAGAAGAATCGATCATCTCAAGGTATGAAGCAAGAGGAGAGGGCTAAAATACGGGAGAATGACTACTCAAGCTCAACATGGAGTCGTCTTTAAGATCTAGGAGGTATGAAGATGAGCAGAAGCGCAGTACTTCTCATTTCTTATTCTTATTCCTTCTTTCCATAAATCAAGCAACAGATAGACGGTGGAAAAATTCTGCCGCAGCAGATCGTCCGTTAAGGTTGCCTCTCCGCTCGCCGCATGACAATATCGAGATAAGACTCGGTGAACGCCAGAAAGAAGCTCGATCACTGACCTGTGATATTCAAGGGACTACTTAGTCTTATTGTGAAAAGATCATGAATATTCCTAACGGACTATCGCAAGAGTTGTAGTTAAAGCAGAGACTATGCAGCTTGACGCTGACACAAAATGAAAATACAAGAAAACAGCTAGCCCTCCATAGAAGAACGATAATGTATGTATAAAGAGTTGTAGCCACAAAGTTTTTAGATCAGGACCTTCATGAGCAGGTTGACCAAGAGAGACCACGGCTAGCTCTCTCAACACTCAATGAAAATATGCAATCGAAAGAAGTACAGTGGCGGAACTTCCTTCGTCACCACCGCAAGATATATCAGCCGGTCACGGCAAATGTGAATCAATGCGGTGCTATCGTTGTCGGCTCGGATGATTTTCGGTATCTGGTGCAGATTTCCTACCTGAAAGTATGAAGGATGAGTGCGATACAACCTGTAAGTACTTATTAAGGATGAGTGCGATACATATGATACTGTAAGGAGGTTCAGGTTGGATCTTGTTGTATAGCTTAAATGAGTGCGATACATGAACCTGAAGGTTCATCAGGTTGCAGTTGGATCTTGTATAGATACCTAGCTTAGGTAGCAGTAGCTGCTGAATTTGGGACGTACAACAAGATGAAAGAACGAGGCCGGGGCCGCCACGTCACTAGTACATATCAACATCCTAGTTTTTAGTATGATACAATCCGGCTTTCTGTTTTCGCGTTCACTCTCCGTCTTCGCCTTGATGGACTGCCAGGTCTTCCCCCTGGACCAGCTGCTCGAATACCTCGTGGATTAGAATAGAACTACCAATTCGAAATATTATTTGTGAAAGTGCGCCTGGCTTGGATGCAGTTCTTCTTTTAAGCACCACGGCTATCTCAGAAAGAGCTTCACGAGAGCTAAAAAATGATGTCAATGGTAGATGAACTTCCGACTACTAGTACTAGTAACTACTACAACTAGTTTAGTACTATCTAACAGATATATATCATAACATTCGCTGAAACGAGACTGCTCTTATCGCCACGATGGTTGTTCCGTATTTTTTCAAGGTAGTCGAGAAAAGGCTCACACGTTGAGCGCGGTACAGATTTCTGGTAGTGTTTTTCAACTACAAAACTGCCCGCAGAAGAAATCACGAATAAAGAGTCGATCATTTTACTACTAGTTGGTCGTCGAAGGAAGGATGAAGGAGGTGGACTAGACGGAGGTTCTTCGCTGTGATTTTTGAGAGGAGGGCACGGCTCGCCACCGAGTTCGAAGGTTTGCGGGGAGCATGGAAAACTTCTGCTGTCCTTCTATCTCGAGAGGAGGAAAAGTAGTTGTGTCGAGTCGTGTGATGTGGTGCCAGCGCTATCGCTAAGTTGTAGTATCTATGTATTAGAGTCGCTTCACTTCTAGAATCTACGGAGATTCCTGCTCAACATCGGCGATTTCGTCACGCGATCGGTCAGCCGCGACGGACCGTGCCACAACGCACACAAAGAATGTCTACGAGGATCGCAGGGGTAGCACCAGGGTGGACATGAAAATTGTTACATTCTTGACTTTGACGCTGTGGCTTTCGAGCTTACACGAGTATCCATCAACAAGAAGCTTGGCACTACTACGTTTTCTGTGTTCATCTTGCTTTCATCATTCATAGCTATCATGTCATCTCATGTTATTCTTATTGGCGAGCGTTCTCGTTTTTGACACTGGTGAAATCCTCTGTTGAAGAGGACCACACCATAAAGTAGTGCTTTCCAAATAAATAGGTACTTCATCTTTTGGGCAAATCTACTTATTCGCTAAGCTCCTTCCTCCAGAAAACAAGAGGCTGATCCGGGAGGTACTCTCCAACACACGACATCAGAAAGATGCTCCACCTATACTTCGACGCATATTCTGTGACGCAAGTCCTCCATCTATGTTTGTCCTTGTTTCGACATCGACTTACCTAGTACTATCATAGGTCTTCTTATGTTATCTGGCACATTTTCACGCACATTTTCACGAATGTTGTCTCTGGAGTTCTCAATCTCAATCTCTTTCTATGCTTGCTGAGTCGCTTTTATCTACCGAAAACGAAAACTACTAGGATTTTTGTAATCTGCTAAAGATGAAATATCACAAGAATGGCGACGTCTTACTGTAACGGTTGCCCATGTTGTACCTTCGAAAACCTAAACTAGTACCTGACTCTGCTATGCAAATCATGAGTGCTTGGATGATGAAAAAATATCTTCTACTTTGCTGTGCAAAAACAAGACGGCGGCAAGGAAACTGAAACCGTCCCACCAAAACGACTAGGTACTCAAAAATACTCACTCGTCTCATCATACTAAGTGTTCGTAATGCTTAATTAATTATGATAACTTTCTTCGTTCATTGATGTCATCATTAATGTGTAATCTAATCAACAACATGTCGTGAAGGGGTTGTACCAGCCGTGCTTTCCAGCTACTCACCGAGACCGCAGCACCGAAACAAAGCAAAAAATCACATTATCTTACTACTACTTATTCGGTGCTCAACATGAAACGAAAACTCCAACAATAAGCAGAAACCACCCCGCCCTATCATGTCTATCATGTCGATAGTGATCAAAAGAACTGCAAGAACTGGGAAAACAAGAAGCCACAAAGGCAGAATCTAAAAAACGGAAACTATCTAAAGCCATCTTTATGAATGTTGATTGAAAGAATCACGAAACACGACATACTGATACTGCAGCCTACCGCATTTATATATCAGCCTCGAGGATAAAAATGTTGAACTGATTACTTACTACAGTAGCGAGATTGTATGTGTCTTCTATCAGTATCTTTTAATGTCTAGGTTGATCCACGACGAAAAACTGGACATCGAAACAAGTAGTCTGATCAGATAAATGTGCTTATTAAGTAAATCCGAACAATATGCGATTGCTTAAGTAATAAATCAGAATATGCGATTTTCAAATAAATCTAAATTTAATTTCTGAGACTCCTGAGTCTTCTTCTCCAACTGGTTGAAATTGGTGTGAAAGTCTTCTCCATTCCTCTACCTTTCTGAACAGCAATGCTTGTCAGCATCAGCGTTCTAAACGATCTGCAAGTTCGTCAATCCGTCTCCCAAAATTGGGACTTTACCTACGGCGTCAGCCGTTCCCTTGCTCGGCCTGCGTCCTTCACCTCTGTTGGCCTTAATTACGTCCTCTCCCAGATGCTCAGAGCTAGCGCCTCCTAACCCTTGGTCTCCTTTCTTAGAGCCGCATTTGGGAACCGGCGCACTCTGAACCTGATGAAGACCTCCCTCTTACTTCCTCCTTTCATCAGTAGTTCCCGTCCTACTTACTTCTGGTACTCACTCAGAAGTTACAAAAGTAGCATTTTGTAACTGAGTGAATCATTTAATGCTACTTTTGTAAATTATTTACGAAAATATCATGATCAAGTAGCGACCACGCTCATAACACCTTTCAGCAACTCAGCACTGTGCATGAGTGCTTGCGACTGCGCTCTGGCTAGCTCCTTCGACGAACTTCCTCTTGCTTTTGTCGTAGTGTGTCTCATATTGTGGTTTTTCGGGAGTTCGACTGGAATTAGAAGAAGAGATTCTTCATGCGGTTGAGGGCTAAAATGGATCTGTTAGTTATATAACTAGAGCTATCAAAAGTTCAACATCCTCAACATCATCCTTCTTCACGTGACGAGACAAGACCTACCTAAAAATGATGAAAAACCTAGATTGATGTAGGTCGTTTGGTAAACTAACCCCTGCACAAAAAATTTTTGATTAAGAAGGAATAGAAGGTGTCGTGAGCTTGGGGACTAGGAGGAGATTCATAGTTTGTGTTTGTTTTTGTTAGTATTTCTATTATAAGTTTTATTAGACCTACTTACCTAAAAAGTCTTCCAGGAAGACACCTTAACTGATAGTACCAAGGAATGTGGGGTATCCCCTTTTTCTTCCGCAAAACCTCTAGTCTTGGAGGGAGCTCTTTCCTCAAGGTTCGGTCCATCAAGGCGTTGCGTTTTACTCCCCTCTTCTGTTTCTCTAACACCATGCTTCCCGCTACTTTTCGCACTAGAATATTCGATAATCGGAAAGGACCGGCAAATGCAGCCTGGTGTTAGAGCCAGCTCACCCTGTCAACGATGCAAGGAGAAGGAGCGCACACTCATCTCAACAGCAGGAGCGATTAGCCTAATCCACCAGAACTAGATCTAGTTCCACGACATAAAGCGGAAATTATCAAGAAAGCCTAATTTACCAGATCTTCTAGTTCTACATAAAGCGGAATTAGGCCAGAACAAGACGCTTTTTCTCTTTCAAAAAATTCCCACGAGTGACACTTGGTAGTTGTTGTTAGTGTGCCTGTCGTGCCTTTCATGAAACATCGAAATTCTTAGAACAAACATTCCTTAGTGTTGTCCATCCGCTAGTTGTTGATGTGCTGATTGGACAGGCTCGCTTCGATGCAGGCCAAAGCCACCTGTTGAACTCATTCTTCTAGAACTAGAAAGTCCAAAAGACCGCACGCCCATAGACCCGACAGGTGCGCCCTCAGGAGGTGCAGCGGATGAAGGACTGCTGCCGCCCACCTGTAAATTGCTACCACTGGATTGATCGCGGTAGTTAGACGAAGTGCACGTGGATGAAAGTGTTGAGAGTTGGTTCTCTTGTTCATCGCACACGACGCACACTCTGTGTTGATGTAGTAAGTAAATAATAATAGTCAGTAGGTCCCCCCACAACCATGTGCAAAAGAACGTAGTGGCACTAGCTACAAAAGGCTACTTCTACTTGCTACTCCTTGCTAGAAAATCCTACTCCTACTTCCTTAACTTTGCCACCGTCTTCCCCGCCCGACTTCTTATCCGACTTGTCTCCGCTTGGATAGTCGCTGAGCAACGTCGGATTTTGCTGCCCACCAGCTGAGGAAGCTCCTCCACCAGGCGTAGCTCCATATCCTCCAGCACCAGTCGGCCCTACTGCTCCATTCGCTCCTCCCTCGTTCACTACGATGTCCATGTCGATCAACTGCGTCAGAGCCAAAAACTGTCGCAAAACCTCATATCTCGCTTGCCCACTCCAAGCTGGACAAGCAGACGCTAGAATGTCCGACAACTCCCATTTGCCGGAAAAAACTGCGGCCATCTTGACAATACTAGCAGGCAAAGGATCCAAAGATTCGATTACCGCAAGGATGGAACCGATCATGTGGGGGGAGTTAGAGAAGTCATAGTTATTATGTTGGTGTGATGTGCGCAAGCGCATTTAGGAGGGCAGTCAAGAAGGAAGAACCGTGAGACTGAGAAGAGTGTAGTATCTATCATCATTCATTCTAGAGCGTCGTCCAGCAGGATCAGACCTACGGCCGGCAACGGCACATCAAAAAACCTACCAACAAGCCATAATATTAGGCCATTCGCTGACTTCCACGTTCTCGTCTAAATTTTCGCTGGCTGACACTATCTGGTCGTGCACGTGCATGTGCCGAAACTTCTGCAGCATCGCCATCGCCTCTCGGACAAAAAGCGCGTTTCCCAACGTGATATCGGATATGTACTTGATCAGCGGGTTGGGGATTCAGATTAGAGATACTTGATCAGCGGATCTAATTATAGAAATAGTCAGCAACAACATAGTCATCTGCTCATAAATTTGCCAAAGGCACATTCAATTCCGTAGCCATGTATTCCCCTACTAATTTTTCGTCAAAGGGATGCGTGTCTAGCCAAACCCCGCTCTGCATTACTTCTCGCATGTAACTGAAAACCACGTTTTCGTATCCTGGAATCGTTTTCCGGTCTCTGATGCAGAGAACTATTGTCAGAGTAGTCTTGAACTCTTGAGTGCGCTTGAGTTCCTGTTGTGAGTGTGTTCAGGGTGTGGATCAGGAAGTAAAAAGTTCAACACGTGTACTTATTTGAGTTGTGATGATGATGTTAGTCGGTTCGGAATTGTCCTACGACTTCCCTGAATCTCTTCTGAGTTTTACGGATTTCCCTGATGTTGAAACTGTTGTGTTGAAAAAGTTGACTATGTGGATGCGGCGCTTCTACTTGCTCGCTATTTGCTTCCATTGCTACTATTTCGCCAGTTGTGTCCTGTTGTTGAAGGTGATGATGATGAAGTTGAAGCTGTTGCCGATGGTGCTGGCGCTGACATTCTAGTTCTAGTGCTAGTTGAGGTGGGTCCTGTGGTAGAAGGATTTGAGAGGAAGAGGAAGAAGAAGAAGAAGAAGTGCTGCGCTGAAGATGTCGATGGTGGAGGAGGGGGGGGGGGTCGTTTGCCTTTCCCTCAGCTATGATCTTCCATCGCTCTCTTTCTAGGCAGTCATCCATTGTGGCAAATCTAGCCACTAGTTCCTTGGATACCCTATCCCTCCACGTTTCCCTCGGTCTTCCCTTTCTGTTGGTCTTCGCTGGCCTCCCAGCGTCTGTGGCCCCTATCAGTCTCCTCACCCATCGCCCCTCTGGGTAGCGTACGACGTGACCCAGGTACTTCAGACGTGCAGACTGTAGTCTTTCTGAGAGCCTCCTCTGGTCTAGGCTCGTTAAAACTTCCTTTGTTGTCCACCTGTCCCTCTTCGTTATACCTAGGCACTGACGCAGCTTCTTGTTCCAGAAGGTGTCCAACGCGTCCTCCTGCCTCTGTGTCGGAGCCCAAGTCTCCGCCCCCCAGGCTAAGACCGGGTAGACGAACGAGTTGAGAACCTTCACCTTCAGCTGCGGCCGAACTCTACTGCTGCAGAGTATGCGGCCCAGCTCCCCTGTCTTCCTTTGTGCCTTGTTTATTCTCGCCTCTATGTCCCTCTCATCGTCGGCCTCCTCTGTGATGATCGTACCCAGGCACTCGAATTCCCTGACCCTCCCGATCCTGCCGATCGCCTCAGGGAAGGTCTCTGGCTGTCCCTCAGCGTTCACTACTAGGAACTTTGTCTTTCCCTCGTTTACCTGCAACCCGAACGGTGTGAAGGTCTGCTTTATGTCTCCCACTACCTCGAGAAGCTCCTGCCAGCTCTCTGCGAAGCAGACTATATCATCGGCGTATAGGAGCCTCCTGAGCTCGTCTCCATCAGTGGCTGCCATGCTGTCACTCCTCGTGGTCCTCTGCTGTCCCAGCCTTAGCCCCCCCTGTCTGCCCTGTGTGTAGGAGTACGCACCGCACGACCAGGCTGAAGATGGTTGGCGACAGTAGGCAGCCCTGCTTGGTTCCTGTTGTTGTCTCTGTTGGCCTGCTTCTCGCGCCGTCTCGCTTCACCTGGAACAGATGTCCCCTGTATAGCGCCCAGAACTTAGCCTGCATCTCCTCAGGTAGACCATAGCACCCGAAGGCGCGCTGTATCAGTGTGCGAGGTACCTTGTCAAAGGCCTGCTGCAGGTCGATGAACAACAAGAAGAGCGGCCTCCCTGCCTTCCTCTCGTTCTGTGCTAGTATCTTTAGCGCCAGTGTATTGTCGACGGCCCTCCTGTACCTCCTGAATCCCGCCTGCTCCTCCCCGAGAATGCTGTCTATAGCTCTCGAGATCTTGCTGTGAACCAACTGCGCGCGTGCCTTTGCTAGTACGTTTAGTAGCGATATGGGCCGCCACCCCTCTGCCTTGCTCTGGTCCTTTCCCCGCTTTGGAAGCACTGTTACTAATGACTCTACCTCGTGTGGGCTGAGCTCCGCACCTTCCCATCTCCTCCTTACTGCTGCGAAGAGCCTCTTTTTGTTTGTTCCTTCTAGTAGAAGGAGATGCTCCACGGTAAGCTCGTCGGTGCCGCTCGCCTTCCCTAGCCTCAACCTCCTCGCCGCGTCTTCTATCTCCCTGTCTGTGACAGTGCTGCTGACACCCTTGAGGCCCCCTCTGCCTTCTGTGGCTGTCTCCGCTGGATACGAGGATGGCTCCTGCCCTGTAGAGACTGTTTCGTAGAATGCTCTGTGAAGCTCCGCCTTGCCCTTGGCTGTGTGCTCGGTCCTCCCGCTATATGCCAGCGGCTCAGTTGTCACCCTTCTTACCCTCTGCGCGGGCCTCCTGCCGTAGTACCTGCTTACTCTTCCCAATGCCGGCGCCAGTCCACTCTTCGCATAATACTCGCCAGCCTCTGCGCAAGTCATTTCTAGCCACTTCCCCTCGTCCCTTCTCTCTATCCATGACAGCAGCTTTAGCAGCCTCTTGGCCTCCTCCTTGTCCCCTGCTCGGAGCTGTGCCTGCCGCTCGAGCCAGACATCCCTGAACTCCTGCGTGATCCACGGCTTCTCCTGCTTCTCTTCTCCAAAGACCTTCTGAGCTGCCTTTCGCATTGCTTCCTGTGTGTCTCCTTTTGTCCCCTCTACGGCTTCGCTATAGGCTTTCCTCTGGTCCGGCGTTTCCCGGCCTGGCCTTGGTACCCTTACGGCTGAGTTGTAAACAAAAAGAAATTCAAATCTCTACCATGCTCGTCTTCTGCGATTTCTTTTCATCTTGCATTAGAACCATTACTCTAGTAAAGAGGAAAACATATAATTTAATATAAAATTTTACCCGGAAAATAACATATTCAAAACTTATAAAATTAAGCTTCACAATCATTCAGTACCTTGTACAGATCCAAGAACGCTGATGAGACCATCCAGAAGGTGCTATCGTCAGTCCGTGTAAAAAGGTTCGTTCCTCGTTCGAAACGCAAAGCGATCACTACCGACTGCTTCTTCAGGATGTCGCGCAACAGAGCTATGATCAACTCGATCAAACTCTTGTATCGTTCCACTCGATCCTTATCGGAGACTTTTTCTTCACCTGGAAACGAGGAGAGGAGCATATCAAGCTGTAACTGCAGCAGTTTTGAGTCGACATCAAATTTAAAAGGAGCACCGAGTTACTAGTTTGTTAGTAGCGACAAGAAAAGTGGTCAATGAACGAGTAAGTGGCTAGTCAATGAGAAAAGTAAGTAGAAGATCATGATCTTGGTCATCGATCATGCAGAGCATCCTGCACTTGATGCTGATTCTTTTCAAATTATACTTTCAGTCACAGCTTGCAGTACATCTACAGGGAATATCTTTAATAAAACTAGTGCACTTACCTGGGTCATCATCGTCGCTCCATGGCCTTCCTAGGAGACTCGGAATCCACTCTAGAGCAGTGGTGAATTTCGCGGGTATGATACATCTCAAACACTCTAGGTCTGAGTCACGTGGTAAGTCCGGATCGTTGCACCTGAAGGCTGACAACAACGATCGCAGAAGCTCGGAAAACACGCGGCCGAGTTCACCTGGAATTATGCAACTTGGTCGGTGTAAGTATGCGAGAGACAAGCAAAACAGAAGGATCTAATTGTGCGACTTCAGCAACTTTAACATGCCCATTTACTCCTATCGTCGTGTATTTTGACATCTTGTCCATCTTCACAAACGCAAAATCTGTATGCTGCACGCGTCTACTGCTACGGAGCACCAGCACTCTGGGCCAGAAGAAATCAGAACAGCCAGATCATGAGTCAAGAGGTCTAGAACAATGAATCACAAAAACAAGCGATCGCCAAACAATACCAGGCCTCACCCCTTGACTGCCGACAATCGGCACAAGCTTGAACTTTTTCATCGCTGTGTGGGCTACGTACTCGATTAGCTCCGTCTTACCTAGGCCGAAACCACCTATGAGAACCATCGGACCCCCACGCTCAAAAACACTATGCTTTTCGATCTGTTTGGCCGCGTCTTCGAAGTTCTGACGTGACGCGGCTGGAAGATTAGAAGAGGGGCGAAAAGTTGTCGTGGTCATAATCTTTGAAAGAATAAGTCCTCTAGGAGTCCTCAAGAACATCAACATTGCCTTTTCCACGACACAGATACTGATCATTCTGGCGTAACTAAAGTCTGCTGTTTCCCGACTGTCACATGATGCTTCACGGTCGACGCTTCTTGCGTGACTAAGCCAACTTGTGCTCGAGCTTCGAAAATATCGTCCACATCTGCGACCTTTGCTCCTCTTGACGCAGGTGGATCGGGTACGGGGAGATTGGTTTCGGAGATTAGAAGCCGCAGAGGATGTTCATGCTTTTCCGCTTCATCCGACGAGTACCAGTACTGAGAGTAGAATTTATTATGTTGACTTTGATGACCGATTTAGAAAGTCATCAAAGTCATATTAGTTCTCAAGTCATAGTCCTCGTAAGAAGCCATAACTTCAACAGCTTCTGACAGATGATCAGCTCTCTCCAATTCGGCGACAAGTCTAAGAGGCTGTTCGTTCCTCCCACTAGACGACCCTGCACTGTCCATGGCAGGTAAAGCTCGCCTGTCTCTGGACATTTGCCCAAGACCTTCTTAGGTGCTTTTCGCATAGGCTCGAATATCGGGATCAGGTTGGACTTCCCCTTCACTTTTATCTTCTCCAAAACATTGAAATCCAGTTCCGTTTGACCCAAATCGTACGTTCGCTCGCCAACTAGAATCCCTTGTGGCTTGGATCCCGCCATCAACCTGGCGGAAAGGTTGACGGAATCCCCCAACACTGTGTATTCCATACGCGAAGCAGAACCGACAACTCCGCAATAGTTGCGACCAGTAGTAACACCGAAGCGCGCTATCAGCTCCATTCGTTTCATGTGTTTTCGAATGTCCATACAACAGAGAACTGCGCGGATGCTGTTGAAGGATTTGGAAAATCACAAGTAGAAGAAGTAGAAGTAGAGGATAAAATAGTGGTCGTGCATAGAAGAAAATATGAGGGTTACTAATTTCACAACAGTCATCCTCTACGACTAGAACTATGCTGTAATCTAGTATCACTCTCCACTTTATATATCGTTGATCTTCGATCTACCAATCGTCCGTGTGCACCAACGGTGGCAAGCCAAAGCAGAGAAGAAAAAGCATTCCCTTGTCGTCTACTAGAAACTTGTTCAGGGTGCCTTCGTGCGCGGTGCAACAGCTCTGCACTGCCTTCATCAGTTCGTCTGCTTTTGAGTTTTAGAAGATAACGCTTTTCAGAGAAAGCATGCATCTACTATAAAAAACCAAGAACAACATCCTTTTTACATCTACATCTACCAATCTTCGCCATAAAATGACCCTTCCGCTGTGCTCACGTCGATTCCTTGCACATTGATGAAGATGACACTAATATTCCGCATCTCGTTTACGTAGGTCAAGGTGCCACCAGCAATCTGCTTGAAAACGGCCGAGGGAATATAACGCCGACAAATATCCAACTGCTCCGTCTCGAACTGGTACTCATGACGTCGATCGCTTTCGACTGAAAGGTGGAAGTGGTGGGAAGTTCTTGTTTATTAGTTTTAACCATATGGATCTTAATACTAGCCTTGCTTGTGCTTGTTCCTTGGTCTACAGGGACAGAGACAGTCACAACACACACACTAATACTCGCCGCCGCCTTCAAGACCGGAAACGTGTGTAGTTCGGAGTGCAGCTCTCCTAACATGATGAAGTCGAATTTTGTTTCCTCTCCCACTTTTCTCTCGACAGGGGTACCCGCAAATGTATGCTGCACAAGCGCCCATGCCTCGGGTGAAAGGCAGGTTTCACCTGAGTAGGTCGTTTATTTGCATGCTAAATATTAATCAGCACAGCTTTCCTGGTGTATCTTAGTTGCTCTGCGTCATCGCGATGGAGAATGAAAAACAAAAAGTACACATTTCAAATGAGTAGGGTTGTTCTTAAAGTTACGGCTGTCGAAGTTTCCTACCTCTACCTACCTACCTACCTACCTATCTATCTATCGACCAATTACCATTCGACGCTAGAGGTTCTGCAATCGAAATCTGCTCCATTGGTGGTCCGCAAATGACGTACTCATATCTTGGAGCGTGCGTTTCTGGTGGAGTTAGTCCTCCCACTTGAAGGATAGTGACATCTCCAAAACCGACCCCGATGTGCAAACACAATCGCACACCGTCGACTCCGGTGGAAGGTTAGAGTGGGAACAACATCCACTTAAGTTCATCTTGTAGCTAGATGAAAATATATACGAGGCGCCATAATCAAACATATGGAGCCTTCTATGAATTTCGATGCAGCAGGCACTAGCTCGCAGAACGCACAGCTCCTCAGGTGAGTGCCCACTGCAACCGTAGGTTCCACATGGAGGCACGTTGTTGTCGAGATCCGGATCTTGTACTGCTGGGAAGTAAATCGTCAATGCATCTCCAGAGAACTTGATCACATCACCACGATATGCGGAGATAATTTTGATGAGAGGGGTGAAAAACGCGGTTAAGCACTGCGAAAGAAGCTCGGCGCCGTTGCCTGGTGAGTATAGAGGACGTAGAGAACAAGGACCAGAAAATTTTTTCTCGGTTTTGGTACCCGTAGTCGTAGTTTTGTCAGAGGATGAGTATCTATGAGTGGCCAAGAGGACCGCACGAATCTTTTCTTGACGATCTTGGTTGTACATAATTGAAAGATTAGTTGTCACTCTTTCTGGGATTATTACATCCAAAAAAAAAAAAAATCAATTTATTCAAATATCAATCCAATTATATGAAATCCTCACTTTTCTTCGCCAGTTTTTCCGTTAATGCTGTAAAACCACTAGCGTCGCTGAAGACTACTGCTCCCACACCTTTATGAATGACGACGTTATGGCCCAGGTGGCCTTTTGAGTGTGCCTCTTGAACTATCCACGGAACGAAAGCGATAGCTCCTGCAAGCACATCTTTATTCTTCTCTTTGATCCATCTGGCTGCAAGCTCGTACCTGTGGTAGTTGTCGTGTGGAGTCGACACAGGATGTTTAAGTTGACAACAGCCGGAGAGCAAAACATTCTAGTACAACGTAAGTAGAACGAAACCAATGAATAAATCTTCATCCTCTACCTAGTACTATAATATAGAGCTTCTTTCCTAAAAATAAGCGGAAGAGATGAAGTGCTGCAGCCAAACGTTGTCAACATGATTATACCAGGCAGAAGACAAATGATACTTTATCTCTTCCGCTTATTTTGAAGAAAGAAGCTCTAATTCTGGTTGAACCAGAACTTATCATACTCATACTAGGCAGAAGACAAATGATAAGACAAATGACAACTACTATAAGCATAAGAAGTACATGGACGCCTTTCGTTCCTCCTGTCGTGCTTTTTTCAAGGCCAGGAGTTGATTCCTCTTCCGCCTATTGTGCGGTAGCTGCTTCGCGATCATATCCGGCAGCATCATATCGCCCGCCTGGGCTAATGTTCGTGACATCATTGCTGCCATTTTGTTCTTGGCCAGATCAAAATAAAACTGCTGCACACAACATGTACTACATGTAACCTCTAGTTCAATTCCTATGATCAAACAACATGCTGGCACAGATGCGAATGCGTTGATATCTTCGAATCAAGGACCAGCGTTTCTGAGGAAACACACAGAAAAACAGTTGAAGAAGACAAAATGCCATCTTTCGACAATTTTATTGTTTGTGACAGAAGTATTTGCTGTCGTTTTTTTGCTTTTGTTTTTACCTGAAGACCGAGAATTGGACAAGACAGAAAACCGAGTAAGGCATTATGGGCATCCACACAGCAACAGACCACAACTACTCAATCAAAAGAAAGATCATGTTTGGTTTTGAGACTTTGACAAAGTTTCTCGCTGCTAAGTCGAAGCTTCTGCCAATGCGGCACAGACCACAGAGATTGCGAATACAAGAGGCCGCTTTCGTCGGGCCTCCCAAGGCCCAAGGAATCAAGAACTAGAAACACGACTCGTTTCTAAGAAGATCAAGATCATTCAGCTCCTCGGACAAAAAAATTGAAATCACCGTTGGCTTGTAGTAGCACCTGCAGATTTAGTCCATGGCTACAAGCCGAAGCCTGCCTTATCATGCAAGACAAACGTGGTCAAACAAGAGTACTAGTTGGAGTAGCACCAGTGCCACGAAGATGAACAACGAGTAGTTGTACTTCTACAACATATCTGCTCACCTCACATCCGTAAAGTACATCTGATCTCTCGGGAATCGTGCACTATCCCATTCTGTTTGCCCAGTTGTCAAGTTCACCCAATACACAGCCGGTCGCGCTCCTCCTGCTTCCAACTGTGCAAAACTTGCTGAAGCTGGACCATTCGACCCTGCCCCGACACCTCTGCCGACCAAGCGGTTGTGCAAGTCGGTGTCTAAGACTGTGCTTGAGGTGCACTTTTTCCAGACCATATGAGCGCCCTTGGGGCCATGACCTACGTGGAAGCTGTCGCACAGAGGGTCTTGTTGTAAGGGATCGTTAACGTCAACAATGGAAGTATGGGTGAGGTAACCTTTAGGGCCAAACGCTGGAATATGCGGCTCTGGAGGAGGATCTATTTTTTTTGGTGGAAGAGGAGGCTCCCTAGGGATTGGTTGATGGAGATGAGGTGGAGAAATCGCTAGTTGAAGGTGTTGTTGATCAGCAGTTGGTGCCAGAGCAAGCTGTTCTTCCTGCTTCTGATTTTCCAAATGAAGATGAGCATTCTGATTTCTATTCCGTCCATCAAGAACTTGGTCTTCAAATATTCTGACTTTTTTCCTTCGTTTGTTCTTCGCAGCAGCACTATCATGGTAGTGTTTCTTCACCAATTCATCGGCTACTTCGCTAAATTCCTTTCCCCTAGTAGAGACATACTTGTCTGGAGCGCGATGTTTCTTCGTTCGTCCATGAATAATGCGTTCGATCTCTCGCTTCGAGATGTGAGCAAACTCAATACCTCCTGGAAGCATATCCTTGTTCTTGTGGTGGATGTAGTTGATCTCCCCTTTCAACCTTCCCTCATCCTCGTTTTTCAGCATCAATTGCATCCTCTTCCTAAGCCAATTTTTCCGATCCAGTCTATGCACCATCTGCACTGCATCTTTTCTGCCTGCTGCGATTGGCCTTGGCTCTTTCCGTAGCTCCAATTCTGTGTAGTCTACAGTCCCAACAGATACGCCAACCACTTTTTTCACGCTCTCACCCCCTCCTAGACCTAAGTCTTCGGAGTATTTGTCGAGTAAGGGGAAGTTGAAGTTGTCGACTGCGTTTTTTCTGTAGGGATCTGCATTCGCCAACTCTGCTCGCCTGGCTTCGCGCTCGTCGCGCTCCACCTGCGCCCTAGCCTCCTCCCTGAGAATTTCTTCGTGCTTGATCTCTGCATCGGTGCGTTCGTAATGAAGACAAGTTGCCTTGGGCGGATGGTAGATCAGTAGAGGCAGTTCGTTTGTATGATCATGCGAGGAGAGCGCCATAGCGAGATCTTTTTGGGTCACTTGATCGTCTTGCGTTTTTTCGACTTTGATTTCAACAGGCTCTCCACCGTCCACAACGATCTGAACATTGGCCGTTAATTCTCCTTGTAGTGGTGCAACGCTTTTGGGGGACAGTGCACCAAAAACAGAAGTTGTTGAACCTTTTGGGGACGCACCAGGTACACGCTCCAGCAAAGAGTTCGTATTGTTGTTTGTCATCTGCAAATCATGATGATGTCCGCCTTTAGGCGAAGGTGATCGTGTTGATGACCGCATTGTGTTACTGAAATTGGAATGTTGAGATCTAACTACATCATCCTCAAGAGCGTAGCTGGGAGCAGCAGGTTCACCCTCTGCATCCACTTGTATCGTGTAGGCACTGGTAACTTGTTCTGCGCCCTCACGTTCTTCTTGTTGCTCAGGTGCTTCATTCAAACCATTAGCGATTCTCCACTCCTCACGCTGCTCATCTGACATCATCGCCCACTTTATCCGCGCCCGCGCTGTCTCCCATAACACTTTACCACTTCTCACAGTCGTTTGGGCCGTCACAACGCCGCTTGTGGCTAGAGCCGACGTGGTTCTTTTAACAATCTTGTTTCTCAGAGGCGAGCGCGCATTCAATGCGTCCTCAAACTCTGGCATCGACAGTGGAGCAGTTGCTTCTTTACCCATCTTCTTACTCCTAACACGCGTCCGATAGAAATTGACCAGAGGGAGTAAATAATCGCGTTGTAACGTGTAGTTTTTTAATAACAGGTTTTCCCGCCATCGTTTTTTGATGCGTCCTCGACGCCAGTCAAACCACAGAGCGTCCAACCTTTCTCGATGTCCTTCAGGCTTCGATCCTTCTCCGAAAATGATCGAACCTTCAGGACGCACGTTCGGATTCGCAGTTTCGTCTAACAACAACCTAGCCAAATCCTTCTCGCTTTCTATCCCCAAGTGCTCCATGATCCTCGATGCCCATTCGTGAAGACTCACATGCTTGGGAAAAGCGCCGTCCCCACTACTTTGGGCCGCTTGCACCACCGATGCAGAGACTCCACCTCCTTCTCCATGGCCTGAATCGCTGTCACCTTGATTTGCGCTCGCAGACAGAGCTCCCCATCGTTCATGATACACCGAAGACGTTCCCTTGAGCGTTGCAGGATTTTCGTTTAGCATGCGTCTAACGCGTGGCTTACTGTAGCGATCCTTCAATGCTTCAAATACGCCTGCACTTTCTAGTAGTTTCAAATTGCAAAAGGCTTCAGTGTTGACAGTCCATTCGTTTTTCTCGATGTCGTAGTGGCTGTGCGACAACGTAGTATGCTTGGGCAAAAAGCCTTTCCAACGCTCTTCGAGCACGTATTGGGATACGGTGAGCGACTTACCCTCTCTCCTTTGATAGCGTTTATGCCGTGTGATGATCGCTTTCGACAAAGCGTGGTCGAGAATATCGCCTTCAAATTCGATATCAGAAGAACTGTCCTCGTCTTGTTGCAATTTCAAGTCCAAATCCCCTAGTTTTTCCTGCGTCGCAGCGGCTGGGTTACTTGCGGGGCGACGACGTCTCTTCCCCTCTATTTCCTCTTTTTTCACAAAAAGCCGACGCACAGCTAAGGGGTTACTAGTACCTGGACTACTATCACTAGCGGGGTCATCCTCGCCGTCATCTTCTTTGTCTTCGTCTCCAGACCCTTGCTCATCGCCATCCTGGTCTTCATTTTCTTCACCCTCTCCCTCCGACTGATACGGCGAGTAATGACTCAAGTCACTCGTATTAACCGAAGAAACGGAGATCGCGTCTAATTCAGCACGCTCGCGTCGACGCTGGGCGGCAGCTATGGCTTCCTCGTCAAAGTTGTCATCGTCATCGACTACGACAGATTCGTCTTGCAGCTCTTTAGAACTTCCAGCACCTCCTTCAGCAAGTGCAAGCTCTCCAGAAATTGGTATTGGGCCAGAAGCTGCAAGAATACTACCCGACGTGCTGAACGCAGCTAGTTTATTAGCCAAAAAGTCATCATCTCCACCGTCATCATCACTGTTGCTCGACGAGAGTAATATCGCAGCACCCCTAATGCCACCAGGACTATCACCAGTGGCACTACCAGCATCTTCTTCATCTGACGTAGTACTCATTCCCCTTTTTTTCAGTCTTCGTTTACGCGCTTTTTCCGCCTGCTTCCGCTCTTCTTCTTCCCTTTGCCTCTCCTCTTCTTCCTCCTTCTCTCTTCTTACCCGGTCGCGTTTTTGAACCCGTTTACGGTCTCTTAAAGCAGCTTTGGAAGCTTCTTTTCTCTCTGCATGCGCGTCCATCCTGGCCTTTCGATCAGCAGATTTCTTGTTTTTCCTTTCCAACTTGGCAAATTCCTTTTCCCATAGACGCATTGTGTTTTTGTCGAAGTCAGCACGTGCTTTTTGCATTTTGGCTAAACGCATATGATGTAAAGACTCGAATGTGCCTTGTTGGCTCCTTTGATCAGGCTCACGTCGGAAATCTTCTTCGGTGAAAAAAGAATCCGCAACGCTGAGAAGGGTCGCGCCAGGTGTCGGACCCAAATGATCCGTTTTTGAAGACTTTGTCCCCTGTTCCTCCTGTTGTAGATGTGCATCCAAGTGCAGAATCAAACTCAATTCCGCGTCTTGCGCAGCTTTTCGTTTCTGTCGTTCCATTTTTACTCCCGGAAGTGAAGTCGTTAACCCAGTCGGACCCGTCACGCGCACACCCAATTCGTCCCTCAATTTCTTCTGCAGCGCTTGATCTATCTCATATGCTGGATTTCGCATTTTCAAGTGCTTCTTCTCAGGCGGGAGCCAGAACTTAGGACGACTTATTGCTTCTGCTGGTGGCTCTAGCAGGAACAGCCTCCAAGCACCATAAAGAGCCAAAGCAACTCCGACAGAAATAGCAATCGGCACCAACAAGTGCTCAATGTCCTCCCACAGTGTTTTCTCTTCCTCCGGAGGTGGAGGAGGCGTCGTTTCGTCGGCAACGCCCATTTTTTTTTGCGCAGCAGCAGCTCCAGCTCGGTCAAAAGGCGATGTAAACGTCCTTGGTGGAGCCGTTGTGTCGGACAACAGGCTGTTGGGCGAAGCTTGGAGGCCACGGAGGAGCGCTTGTTTCGGTTTGGTTGTGGCAGGCCCATGTTTCGAGTTCGAAGATGCAGTTGCAGGCAAGAAGATGGATGTTGACGTTGAGGTTGGCCCTCCATTCTTGCTGAGTACTGTGGTCGGCTCCGCGAGAACAACGCGACTGAGCCGAAGCAGGGAGCCGCAGAAGCCGAATAGCAGGAGTGTTGCCACGGACGAGAGAAGTCTCATTTTGTTTAAAACGGGTGGTCAGAGAATTCTTCAGATGAATGGAACAAACAAATTGAAATTTATCAAAAGAATCTGAATTGTCATACTTGTTGTAGGTGCAGGCATGCGCTCGGGTACAACATCATGGGATCTTCACGTGTCACGACAGATGCGGACAAACGAATATGACCAACATGAAGGTCAAATACTTTACGTGTAATACGGGGGAGGGGGAGAAAATGGGTTGCCTGGAGAGTTGGTCGATGGGAGCAAATCTAAGACTCACTCTTGCAGCTCCAAAGCTGAACAACTCAACAAGATTCGTCGTGTGCGCTCTACGCTCCAATCGCTTTTTGGTAAGTACAAAGGTTGAACTCTCAAATCACAGAATGTTTGTCTCTCACTGAATCACATGTTTGTGGAAACGGACTTTTGCTGATCAGTGAAAAGAACCTCCACAGGGAAACCACACGACGGTCACATTCATGTTAAAAAATGAAATACAATCAAATCTCAAATGCAGTCGCGCAGACTCCTCGTATTTCAAAAACAGATGACCGACAAGATCTTCCGTATTTGTCGATCTAATGTCTCAAGGTCAATGCCAATGCAACACCAATTCAATCTCAAGCAAGAACCCGACAGATCTCATCCTCAGCCGTGAGCGCAAATGTAGGAAGAGATCTACGATTGGACGAGTTGCGCGTTTTTACACTTTGGATTGCGAAGGTTCTGAGGGTGAAATGGGAATTGAGAAGTAGGAATATGTGTGGAAGTGGATGGCGGATGAAAAAGAAAACAAGGCCTACATCCAAGAAGAACTGCGTTACCCCATGGAAAATATCACAACACTGTTATTGATAAAATGTTCACCAGTTTTATTTCTTCCTTTCTGTCGTGGTATCCGGATACATCCATTCTTCTCCAGGTGTGTAGCCCAGAGAGTTGTACAGGCTTTGTCTCGAGAACATGCGTGGTAGGAACGGCTCAACGGTTCCATTTGGGTCTGCCAGCACGTCAAGACATTCCTCTACGCCCTTCATCGCTGATCGCAGAGTCGAGACAGGGAAGATTACACAGCTGTACCCCATCTTTGCGAAGTCTGCTTGGGATATGTAAGGGGTTTGGCCAAATTCGGTCATATTGGCTAGGAGATAGGGGGGCTTGGGTAGACCTTGCATGGCTTTTGAGAAGGATTCGAACTCTTCTCTAGTTTTTAAGCCCTCGGGGAAGATCATCTCTGCACCGGCGTCGACGTACCTGGTCATGGGAAAAGAGGTCATGCAGTTGCCTGTAATCTCGTAGTATATTAGGTGTCGTAGCTGAATCGATTTCGACGACAGTAAGGTAATTTACATACAGTGAGAAGTTGAACAAGTATCACGTGCGTAAGCAATATCTGTAGGTACGCTGTCGCCCTTGTCACGGCCTCATCGAAGGACACTACGCCTCGAGCATCCGTCCTCGCACACACTAGAAATTCGCCACCAGAGTGCTTTTTCGAAGCGCTCAATGCTCGATCTAGTTTTTCTAGCATGTCTTGCTGTGGAATCAGGCTCTTCCCCTTCAAATGGCCGCATCGTTTCGGAAAAACCTGATCTTCTATGTGCAGACAGGCGGCGCCAGCTAGTATGTATTCGACGGTTGTTCTTGTGACCATCTCAGCTTCGCCAAAACCCGTGTCGGCATCGCAAATCAAGGGCAAGCCGCTGGCGAGCACGATTTCCTTTATCCTCGAGGTGAAATGGTCCAGCGTTAGCATCCCTATGTCAGGGACACCAGCGGAGGCTGTGAGGGCTGCGCCACTGACATAGTTAGAGCTCGCCCCAATCCATCTTGCAGACGATCCTGAACCTCTTGTTTGTGTTTCCCCCTTGCGACGCCACTACAGTCAGGATGCTTCTGAAGATGGATAAGGGGTAGCCTTAACATAGGCCGCAGGAAACCCCTTTTCAGCTGCAATGCGGCCAGCCAGACCACAGAAGGCTCCAGGCACGGCAATGCACTTCTGACTGTCCATCGCGTGCCGTAAAAGGCGGCCATATTTTGAAGACATGTTTTCGTGGTTGTGGAGGAAGTTCAGTGAATCGAAAGCCTTACGTGGACATTACGATTACCTCCTTGTTGACTTGAGAGGAAGACTGAGATTCAAAAATCATCTGAGATCTGCAAGAACGCCTTAAGCGGCGAACACCTGAACTACGTCATCTCTAGTTGAAAGAACTCCCATGCCAGCAACATAAGAAAGTCAGCATCGAAAAGTGAAAGTGATGTCAATTTCGGTGTATTGTACTAGAAATTTTACTTCAAGCGCATGCAGAAGCATACATCGTCGCATCGTCGTCATTCACGATCCATGTTCACGAAAATCGTTGACAGTGTGATTACTTGGATACTTTCGACAGTTTTCTCCCCGGCGTTATAAGGCAAGTAATACAGTTCGGTGACAGTGAGTGACTAATCCCGATGAGGACGTGCGAAAAATTATCAAGAAATTGAAAAAGAAGAACAGTAAATCATCCACATCCTCGTCCCAAGAAAATAGAAGTAGAAGTGAACAAGTGAAATTTTGATGTTGTTATTTTCCTCGCTATCCACCACTTTCCTCCCCACCTCCTACCTGGATATTGAAGTCTGCTGAGTGCTGGCATGCGCGCAACTTGCGTTTGATGCTGCGGTACATATCGGCCACGCTTGGATCGACACAGCCTGGTGGTGGCCTCTTGTTCTGAGGAGATGCTGGTGCGTCAACTACGTTGCCTTTTTGCCTTTCTAGAAACGCTGAAAATGCATTCTTGAAGTCTTCGCGTTTCTCCGGCGGAGGAGCTTGGTCACTTTCTTGCTGTTGAAGTTTACTGCCCTCGTTCGTAGTTGTACTAGCAGCTGCTAGATGACCTAGGTTTAGGTAGTTGCTACTCACCACTTTGTTTCTCGATGAAGGTGATGAAGGTAGACTTATGCCGTTGAAGTTCAGCTCTGTCCTTTTCGATGAACTCGATGTTGTAGCTCCAGTCCTGCCAGGTACAGGGATACCACGGACAAGCAGAGCTCCTTCTTCTAGATGGCCACCAATTTGATGCCCCTCATCTCCAGATTTGCTTTCATGTCTATTCAGAGACTTATCAATCAAATTCACTAGGTTACTTGTGCCAGAGCTCGTTGCAGGAACTTGAGCTCCGATATGAAGACCCCGTATGGTCCTGGTCGTGCTATCCTCATCTTCAGCAGATGCTATTCTACTTCTGGTGGAAGGGTAGTTGGCGTTAGGAGCAAGACTAATTCCTCCAAGGCCACGTGCGTTAGGGTTTGCGTTTCGAGCAAAGTCTTCTACTTGGCCTCCTGCTCCTGCTACGTGAACATCAGGTATTGAGGCAGCGCTAGTAGAGTCCTCCTCCTTCTCGGCGAACAGTAACGGACGAGGCACAGTAGAGGAGTTGTTAAACAGAGCGGCCATGAGTGATTGGTCCTCGCTCTTGGCTTCTACACAACCTAGCAGCGTTTCGAACAGTTGCAGCATGCGGTCTTGGCCTCGTTGTCGATTTTGCCTCTCTGACTCGAGGTCAGCTGCTAAGGTGCTGCAGGCCTGTTGTTGAGGCCGAGGTGTGGAGGACGAGATAGACGAGATAGACGAGAATGAAGATGAAACAAACAAGACAACTCTTGTGTGGAGAACTCTTGTTCATCTATCATGTAGTGTGTTAGTTGTACATTGTCAATCACATCCGTCAGTCTTTGATTCGATGCTGTCCGCAAACTAGTGGCCTCCTTGGCGCTGTCCTTCAACTGGGAAAAAGAACGGTCTATCTTGTTCCATATTGACCCGTATCGCTCTGACCGGTCCTGCTTCTCGGCTGCTAGGTTCTGTAGTTGGCGTGGAGGAGGTGATGTTGAAGTGAGCTGCTTGAGTGAGTGAGTGAATGAGTGAATGAATGCACCCACTCCAGGGGTATAAAAGATCCAGAAGATACCCATAGTACATGACAACACATGAGGGATGTGCACTAAACCACGTGCTGTGAACTCGGAGGCAAACCATCTGCTCAAGAAGTAGACGTGTAGACGCACGTGCATCTCATTATAGCTACGACGTGTAGACGCACGTGCATCTCAACATAGCTAAGTTTAGTACGTGAATCAGGACAGTACAGACTGCCACTGCTGCAAGGAATGTTCGCACTTTCGTTTGATATCCAATATCCCATCCGGACTATCGGCTTCGCTAATGCTCTCAGACAAACTCCTCAGTTCTGCTGTAGCAACTGCTGCGATTTCTGTGTTGTTGTTTCCGTTTCCCTTACAGGGATTACGTAGTAGTTGCAGCGCGGTATCGGCATCGCGCCTTCTAGGTAGCTGTAGTTTCTAGTTGATGTAGTTCAGTGAATCATAACTATGAAAGGAGCGATTGGTACAACTTGGGCTTACGCTAATTGTAGTTCCACTAGCAATACCTCTGAATTCTTCATCGCGGTTCTGTCGACAGAGTTCCAAGGCTGCAGGTGTGCGCATATTTGTAACTGTCTCTTTGATGCTGTTTTGGAGTCTGCTTCTATTCCCATCGCATAGCTGTGTTCTTAGAAGAGTTCGTTATTTGCTTCATGTCTAGCCCTTTCTTAGTACTACATTACCTACAACGAGCGACATCACATCCACCTCAGCATGGTCGAAATCCTTAGTGGCTATTAAGAACCTTTCGTGCCATAATATAAACTCCGCCGAAAGCGCTTCAATTTGTTCGATGATCCTCAAAAATTGCGACTCCTGCCAAAGATCGGCGTGTACGTAAGACATCTCTAGCTTCCCGACCTCATCTAGAGAAGTGACTTGTTTGCCTAAAGGTGGCCGTCCCCCCGAAAAGGAGGATGCTGCTCTTCCACGAGGCATTCTCGTGGGCGAGGGACAGTTGTTACGACGATTGCGATTGATTGTTGTAGTTCATCCAATCAAATCTAGCGCGCCGTCGCGTTTCGTGCAATGCGCTGCTATAATCGGAATCCAGCTGCAATGGTGCTGGGGCGCGCTTTTCAAGTCATTTGTTTCTTGGTGCGTACTATCTTTATCGACATCATCTTGTTAATTGGCACTTCTTGATATACCTGGTAGCAAAAACCTCGGTTCATCCCATACGGACGAATGATCGAAGTCCTCTCTTCTCTACTAGTTTCTTTTTGATTTAGTCAGTCAGTCCTTGCGCAAATAAAGCAGAACCAAAAAAGTAGTTCTGCTGTGTAAAAACAAACGCAAAGATAAACTCAAAGTTCTCTCCTTTATTTAGCTCTTGTGAAATCTGTCCTCTAGCTCTTGTGTTCTCAAGGCAAGAAAGAACGCAGTCACAGCCTTGCCAGAAAAGGGTAGCTGCTTACTGCAGCCACGAACTTGGCTGATGTTGCGGCAACTCAGATGTCGCGCTCTGCTGGTGCTCTTGAAGAGCGACCTCCAGCACAGAAATATGCACATGTAGCATCATGTAGAATTATTAACGAATACTGGAACGGCGAAAAAACGAAAAGCACGAGGTGCAAGGATAAGGTATTACAGGTAGAAGCATCAGTCAACATACTGTGGACATCGTCACTAGGCATCCTCATCCAACATATCAGTCCGTAGCTCACACTCACTGATCAACTCCCGCCAACCCCTCCATAATTCCGCTTCCATCGTAGAATCTTGAGCGTGGTTTCGGCTTTTGCTCAAATATAGATGAAAAGTGTTCCCTATTAACATACGTTCCGTCACCAGTGTGGACATGCACCTGCGCAAAAGGAGGTCCTTGTGCCTGGTACACTTGAGGCACGGGAGGTTAGAGGAACGAAAGGAGGAGGAGGAGGAGGAGGAGGAGTCGAAAGGGGTGTTGAGAGGACTAGAAATTGACATAGACGAAAAGCAGATAGAATCATGCGTTTGAAATCATGGCATCGAGCCCTCGACGAATGTGCTCAATAAACGAAGACGTAGGAGCAGTGGGCATGGAAGTCACGATTTACAACAGTTAGGTGTGAAAGTGTCTCGCATGCTAAGATAATCAAACCATCTCCCGTCATAAGTTGGAGCTGGTGGTTGCTGCCTGACGATAGGCCTCGTTTTTGGGAGGACCATATCTCGAGTGTCGTCTAGTCGCAAAGTAAATTTCGTATTGTCCTCTGGGTCCATGACGTATCTCGTGGGCGCCTCATACGTCTCTGCCGATGCTTGATCTGCAGTTTTGATTTTTTTTGGTATCTATAATTGTTTCTTTGAATCATGGATGCCGTCATAGAGATAGAGTCATTTAGATAATCATGAATATGAATGCATGCAAATTGCAGATGAGAGTTGTACGTTGTTGAATAACCCCACTTTTCTTTTGTTCTTTAGCTGCATCTTCTTGCTGCCTTACGGCTTGAAAGGCGTCTCGTAAACTGTGTGATAAGCCCCAAAGCGCAGCCGACTTCAGAAGTTGTGTGCCGTCACCAGCATGCCCTATTAGCTTTTCGAGCATTCTGGAAGATGGGTTTTTCATTTTGGTACTAGAACAACATCGAAACCGTACAGGATAAAAGAAATCTTTATCTTCATCTCTGAAAATCCAGGTCTACTTCTTCTAGGTCAAGGAAGCAATCCTCTAAGAATACTCCACTCTATCCCCCAATTCCGCATAGGCTTTGTGTGAGGACACAAGGTGTGTGTATTGTTCTTCCAGTTTCTCGAGAATGGCCTGTTTCTGATCGTATATTCGCCGCAAGCCTTCATTTGAGACGTTGATAACGTCTGCGTGTGTCGCGTGCTGCGCTGATGACGAGGACATAGCTTCCCTTTATGTCTTTTTTGAGGTTGCAAGTCTAAAGTATGCTTGTTGTTTGATGAAAAGATCTTATACTTACCTATGTTCTATTCTCTTCATCAACGAACGTCGCTGTCGTGCCTGGCAAGGCTGTGTCCTCTATGTGGTAAAGTTGTTTTGTGGGCTCAAAATTCATAAGGCAAGTATCCTTTTCCTTTCCTTTTCCGCAAAGGAGCACAGCGCCGCGCCGCCCTCGACTGCGGCCCTGTACATTGGCGGAAGCAGCGGGGCAACGCTATACGCGCCCAGCGTGCGCCCACCGTGCCCCCCATGTGTGCCAAGGGTCCGCCCACCGCGCCAAGCGTGGCCGCCCAGCGGCCCAGCGTCGCCTACCGTGCCCACCTTCCCACCGTCTATAAACTACTCTAATAAAGGCAAGTATCCTTTTCCTTTCCTTTTCCTTCCAGTCTCACGCGCGTGCCCCATGCTGTTCACTCGACAAGTTTCCCGAAATGCCTCAGCATCGTCGGCGATCATCATCATCATCATCACCATCAAGACCAACATTCTTCATGCAGCTTGCGCACGTGCCTTGTTGTAAATCAAATATGTAAACTGCTCTTGTGCTTTTTGTCATTTGCATGTTTTTTTCTTATGCGTCGTCCATTCCCTTTCGACCCACTCCTTACAGGAGATGAGAAGTGCGGAGTTCAATATTTCCTTGTTCTTGTGGTCCCTATGGGATGACTCCTAGTGTAAAAATCTCAATGATGTTCTCCCCGCAACGAACTTCTGTGTAATCAAGTGCCACTTGTCTTCACTATCCAAGAAGCCCCCAAGAAGTTGGATGCTATTGGAGAAGTAGAAGTTCTTGATAATTCCAGCTCTTGACCGTTCTTCTCAACACTGCTCGTCTACGAACTTCTGTGTAATCAAATGCCAACAAACCTAACCACCCAAGAAGCCCCGCAACGAAAATCTGTGTGATTAAGTGTCAACAAACCGAACCGCTACCAGATTCGTCACCTCCAAGTTGCATCGCCACGTGAAGTTTGTTCCTTGTTGCCGCCACCTCGGTCTCCGCAGCGTGCTTTGCAACCAAAAACCACGGCTCTTGCTTCAGCCTTGTCACCAGATCTGTCTGAAAAAACATTCCACTGGCCCGTTTCCTGAGCTCTTCTGCTTTTTGCGACGCGGAAGATGCTGGTCCTGAACCAGGGTTGCTTCCTTGAGATGCAGAAGATGCTGCCGTCGACAGCATCAACCCTCCAGCAGCAGAAGAGGTGAGAGGGCTCGCTTTCTCCTTGCCCTGTGGTCCTTCACTTGTCCCCTTGCTGGTGCTCGGAAGACTCGCTTCTGCAAATTAGAATTTCAATTTTCTCATTGCATTTCGTACAGAATTTCCTGAAATACAGAATTGCAACTAACAGAATTGCAACTAACAAGTGTAAGTGAACTCTATCCAAAAGGAGCTTCGTAAGGAGTACGGACTTTGTCGAAGATGAACTGGTCTACCTCTAGGTCAAAAATCTCAATATTGAAGGATTAACCTAAGTATTTAAAAATCTGGAGACGAAGATAATACTCGAAAAACTGAAATAAGCGAGTTGGGAAAAACTCAGATAAGCCAAACACCTTCCTAAGGGGGATTTTTTGGATGCCCTGGCTCTATCGCATCATAGCATACTCACGTGGATCCGTGAGATCGCTTCATTCATCTCAAGAACGGCGGGCCTATTCTGGAGAAGGAGACAATACATCGTTTTCACCCATAATTAACAGGATCTGAGAGCATTTTGCGACCCCATCCTCGCAATGGTTCTTTCTGCCGACCTCTGTTCCCAGGTGCAAAAGACGCACTGGCGCTCTTGACTGTAGTCGGAGTTGTTCCGGTAGACGTGGGTAGGGATTAGAGGAAATTTAAGATGTAGCAGTGGTTCTTTGAGTAAAAATGGCTACTAATTTCACGATCAGAAACTTAATTCATGGCCTATAGGATCAGGACTGGTGTTTTCAATAATCGTTACTTCATCATAAGTAACTGAACTTGCACTCGCTGTCTGCCCACCAAAAGCGGCTTCGTATTCCTCCTCTATCAATCGCATAGCTGCTAGTACCTTGGAACTTTTTCACGTCATTTGACTAAATCAACATTAAGCACTTCCCTGATATAGAAGATGCTTCTGAAGAAACACGACCATAAGATTTCCATTCCCTAAACCTATAAACACAACTACTGAGTCCTCTCGTCCCTCGTCAATGAAACATTCATAAGTTATGAAGCCAAAGTATGTTATCTATCATTATCATACTTTTCTACTTAAGAAACTTGATAATGATAACAGATTGTTGCACGGGATAAGCCTACTAAACTAATTTGATCAAGGTGAAAACTAACCGGTTGTAATGATAACAGATTTTCTTTTCATATTGTAAGTGAGTAAAGTACAGTTGTACCAGTTTCCGATCTCCCTTCAAATGAGTCGCTAGTTCTCGATATTCGTTTTCGATCCGCTGTAATTCCACTACAGCGTGTAACTTGCGGATACTGACGGCGCGCCTCTGGTGAATCCTTCTGGCCCTGAAGTCGTCTATGACTCTTTCTCGGATGTTCTCCAGAGATTTATCCAGGATGTCCCGCACAGCTTCCGACTCCGCACGTTCGCGTGTAATACTAGAAGAAGCAGCTATAATAGAGTCTTCTACAACTTCGCTGTTGGCAGCAAGGTACGCAGCAGTGCGGTTCTCGAGTAACTGAGCGCCTTTCTCGGTTGCAAGAAACCGGTCCACCAGCACAGGATTTTCAGCAGAGGCTTGCTCCAGTTTCTTCTCGCATTCGAGCTTCAGGTTGTACTCGATACTAGCCTCAAGACTGTGCAACTGCTCAAGCTGTAGAGTTAGAGTTGTTCGCACAATAAATTGTTCACATCTACTTCGTAAGTTGTAAGTACTTAGAAGATGAGTCACATCTTATTCATTGACGTGCCTCCTCTTTGCTAGAACGGGAGCCAAAGATCAAGGCGCTTCTCAAGATGAAGCAAGAGCAAGCTAGGACTAAGAGAAGTCCATCTTCAGCAGCATCCTGGGTCTCCTTTTCCCTCTAAAAACGGGACCAAGATGCCAGTGAAGATGGATTTCTTGTAGCCTTAATCAAGGCAACAAGTCTTAATTGAAGCTGGTCCCGTTGTAGTCTGGCAATACGGAGTAGACTTGTTTTGTGTTTCTGGATGCTTTGCTGCCGTTTCTGCGTCCACTTGAGGCTGGTTGAGGTGTCAGGCTTGAAGGTGCATTCTGCAAGCTCCTCTCTTTCCTGTATCTCGTCCTTTTTCTGTTGTAGAAGATGCAGAATAGAGTCCTGACTTGTATTTCCATCCCCTGCTAACGACTAGGACTAGATTGTCAATGCAGTCATCTAAGCAAGAATGTCAATACCTCTTTCAATTTCGCTCTTACAGCCATGGTGTCTTTCCATTCGTGCATCCTCTCTTTCCAGTAACTACCAAATTCCTCATCCGTCATCTCCCTTCGACTTTTTTGCTTCAGGAGGAAATATGAAGAAGAAGGGGAAGGGTATAATTCTTTAATGTAGAAGATGAAATAAATCATTCTTGTGGGTCTTGTTTGTAGTGGACAATGGGAATTGATACTATCTGCACCTTTCATTATTCTTGTTGGAAAGTAGCAGCACCTTAGAAGCTGCTAGTACAAGTGTGTTCATAAAAAATAACATGTAAACTACTACTTCATGATTCATTCAATCGCATCCCGAGTACTGCAGCTCCGAGTCTGACTGACTTCATGAGGTAATATAGGTGTATGGATTGGGAAGGAACTATTCCATTCATCCACTTGATGTTCTTGGGTAAACTACTGTTTCATAAATAGTTTTTCTGCTCCAGATATCTTTCTTCATCGAGCTTCTCCTTCTCCCGTTTCAACGCTTCACGTCTGGCGGTTCGCACTTTATGGTCATTGTAGAGGATATCGACTCGCCGGTCGATAATGTCATTCCTTTCGTCTGGGGAACGATAGGTTTGGGATTAGAAGGAAGGAAGGCATAAGTGAGGCCACGAACAAGGTTTAGGAAGGTATAAGAGAGGCCACGAACAAGGTTTGGGAGTAGAAAGCAAGAAAGGCAAAGGATTATGGGGAGTTCTTCCGTTGCAACTAGGTGAGCTTTACTTAGTACTTTAGTTGTGATGATGAGTGACCTTGTCTCTCATAAGACAAAGCATATCCCACACGCGTTTGTGGGTCGACTTTGTCTTCGTTGGTCCCAGGATCATTTATGGCGACCGGAAAGTCTTGCTCGGTGTACCTCTGTTGGAGGAGGGGTAGGATGACAACTCGAGCTTCTTGTTCTACTAGAACAAAAAACATGATACAACTTCTACTGAGTGAAGACTTGTTGTAGTACTACATACTGGACCAGTATGTAGTAGGACAAAAATTGCATTGAACTATGTTGATCTTAGAATTTTTGCATTAGTTTCATCGTGTGAATAAATACTTGAAGTCGTCCCTTGGTTCCTGCTGCTGCAGAGCGATAGTCGCATCAAAAGCGTCTTCCTTTAGTTTCCGTTCTTGTTCGTCGCCCTTTGCAATTTAGGTTAGGTTAGGTTAGGTTTGATTGTTATACTTGATGACTCGAATCTACTCGGCAATCTGCCTAAGTTCTCATTTTTCTAATATCATTTGCTCACAATGCTATCTCATCACATCTGCCTCTAGCTCGAAATACAACTTAAGAAGTACACTCGGAGCTTCCGATCCCGTCACAGCGTCTTGTTCGGAATAGAACCGCCAAACCGCACGCGGACGGCCGCCACGCTGTTCGACAACAACTTCCTTTTGTGGCATTTTCTTGCTTTGTTTTGGTGAAGTCACGACTAGTCCTCAGCCAAATAAGGATTACCAGTGGAAGGATGGACAATTGGATTTAGATTAAGACACGTCAAAATAGTTACTACACAAAGGAGCTACACTCCTGCATCACATTTTACATCTTGAGACAAACACGTTTTGTTCGGTTCTCGCGTGCGGGTGCGCGTCCTCATTTTTGTCTTTGTTCCTTTTTTCATTCTGTATATTAAGTCTGAGCTTCCTGCTGTAGTTGGATACTTAATCGATGGGGGTTCTCTTCTTCGACTCCTCTCTTTCATTTTTATTATGACTTCTAGCAAAATATAGACCGAAGCGCGGTCAACCGATCGTGACAGGGTAAAATCTTCGTCATTGATAACACACAACACACAAAGGCCATGTCCTTGCGAAAACTGGTGCGCCAACTTTTTTAATGTAAATCTAAATGTCTTACCCCAGTTAAAGAATTAGAAACGATTTATCAAGTAGTATGCCAGCTGCTACGTTGCAGTTCTTGAGTTTGAGCAGGTCTCTTCATGCGCGTAAGAGTAAGTAATCAAAACAATTTGTTTCATACATAGAACAATATCCAGGTCCACTATCGAAGCTTCAACACTAGTTTTAGTTAGTACTGCCTCTATATCATTAGATGTCAAAATGCAAATTTTTGTCCTCCTCCTTCTCTCCTCCACCACACGTCCTACACGTAGTCCCTTTCACCGTCTTTCACGACCTTCGTCCGTCGTCTGTGACGCGAATCACTTTGGCCCAGCGTGTCGTCGAGCTAGCGGCGCTTGGGCATGCTTATCATTAGACTGTGTCCGAACTAGATAAAGGTCCTCTCGTTGCATCTTCTAGAAACACATGATCCGTGCAGGTTTGACATTGAATGAAATGAAAATGATGAGGACAGGAAGATTAGTATTACAATCTTCACTTCAATGTATCTATTCGAAAAACTGAAATAAGCAAGTAACTGAGCAGAATAACCGAGATACTGACGAGAAGGAAGAAGAGCCTTGCTGTTCAGCTACCTCCCTTTTATTTCAGTCAGTAACTCGGTTATTTTCAGTTTTCGAGTATAAGAAATGCTCGTCAGCAGCTAGTACGTCAAGAAGACCACGCCACAGAAGGAAGGTGGGTGAAACAGAAACTACTAGAAGCCTTTGCCTTAACATTCGGCTCCAATCCGAAGTACCGATCCCAATATGGCGTTCCGAGCAACAGTACGACTGGCGCGGAGACGAAATAAAACAAGGGATTGAAGTTGCTTCCGACAACGAAGAGGTACCCCAGTAGTCCCGCAGTCGTCGATAGCAAGCACAATACGTCAAAAATACCGAGAACGGAATGAGCCACAAATCCGAAGAAATAACCGGTGATTAGAGCAGGTGGACGGAGGAGGCAGAAAGAGAAACACCTAGGACTAGGACATGGAGGATGAGAGTAGGAAATGTAATATCGTAGTTTCCATAACACACAGAGACCGGACACTAGACGCAGAGGATGCGACGTGGTCTCTCGAGAGACGAGCAATGAGACTAGAGAAGATGCGGCGTTATTCGCGCCGCCGACTTCGGCGAAAGGGGCCTGCAGTTTCGATGAAGGAAATTAAATGTGGTTGTGAGTTCTGCTCGTCGCAGAGTGACTGTCGCAGAAAGTGAAAGTTGAAGACCTAGCTGACCTTAGAATAACATTGAGAATCTCCTTCATCCCTCTTCATCAAGTAGTCCGCGGAGTCCCAGATGAATTCTTAAGACTCAGAAAATATTCCAGAAGCCTCAAACTCGAATGTTTAAAAATACTGCCCCCTCATCTCTTGCTCTTGGTGGCACTCCTGGCGCTATCAAGAAATTGAAAAATGTTTAATACTGCCTCTCGTGGTGGCGCTGGTGCCGATCTTTGGTGAATTTCCAATTCACTAGGCTTTTTCTTCTTTGTCGGCATAATTCCTCGCTCACTACTAGAGGACGTTGACGTACTTGTTGCAAATGACCTTGCTGAAGGCGTACAACTGGCGAACGAGGTTGCTGATGTTGTACTCCTCATTCTTGCTGACATATTGATGATACTGGATAAGCCGCTGTTGTCACCACCGAAAAGTCGGAAGTCGTAGCTCCTCAGCATTGTATTTGTACTTCCAGCATGCCGGACAGACGTTTTTGACACAATTCTTTGGTCGTGAAGCCAACTAGACCTTATCTGCTCCGGCAACGTGTTTGTCCTCCATATCCTAGTCGATGCAGTGCTGCTGCAACTTCTGCTGCTGCTTTCCAAGGCCGCGCCTAGAGACAGAGCCTTAGAGCTACTGAGTGTCAGTCATGATAGCAATCATGCTACTCGTATTGATGTCCTCAGAAGTCATCAAGTAAGGACTACTCAGTAAAGGACCACTTCAATCTCAATTCATTAGTTGACTAAAAATGATATCCGCCCATAATTTTTTTTGCCACACCAGGCACAACTCCTGCAAGAGGCGGCAAGTACCCGGCAATTGCGGGGACAAATGCACGGGAAGCAGCGGGTGAGATAAACGACGTCATCTTTTCTAAACGACTCAGACTCTCTAAATGAATGAATATGAATCCACCTACCAAGGGGATGTGAACCTATTTTTCAATATTTGTTGTACTGAAAAGAGTCTCAAAGCTAGGAGGAAGAAGAAAGACTCAGCGAGGAAGATGAGAAGCTGTTACTTTATAAGACAACTACAACTTAAGTATTCTTGTTTAGCAGGCATTGGCAATATCATGCGACAACAAGATGAAGGAGTGCTTATAGTGGTCATGTTGGGGCAATGAGAAGCAATTTTTGTAGAAGGATGGAGTTATAGTACACACGACCGGCTACTCTCAGTTAGGTGGTGAGGGTAGACTTCGTAGCTGTAGGGTGTTCATGCTGATCATGATGGAGGTCCGTTCTTCAGTAATTGATTTTTGTAGGTGCTGCTGGTAAGGACCCTGGTTAGTTTTTCATCTGATGTATTGTCAACCAATAACTGATCTTCATGCGACATACAGTTTTTTCTCCAACCATTTCGTCGAGAACACGACTCATCTCAAACTCTTCGGGATGACCAAGCCTCCAGGATCGCGCGTGGTGGTCGTGGTGTTGTACTTCTAGCTTTTTTCATAAGTACTTTCTTCTGAATTCTTGATTCCTAAGAAAAAAAAACTATTTCAAGAATGAATCCAGTTCACCAGCACAAGGTCAATAGTGCTGCAAAATTCTTATAGAAAAATTTTCACCAAGAACTTTTTTATCAAGTGACATCCAATTTAATAAATCTTAGTCAATCATCCCTAATTCTTCACAGCACTCATTCTGTTTTTGGTCAATAATGAGATAGACCGAGGAAGACCAAAGGAAATGAAATTCTTTTAACAACATGGTCAATAATTATCGTTCACCAATGCATAGTTGTTCCATCGAGTCTATTTTCTCCACGGATTGATATGTCATTAAAAAAAACTGCTACATGAGATATCGCGCAAAAAAGATACGAGTCACTTCTAGACACATATAGCTCAAGCTCTTCGCTCTTGCACGTACACCAAGAACGAAAGTCTACTTTACTACAAAAATTTCAGAAAAGTCTCTCGATGGAATGAGGATCATGTTGAGGGCCAGCATTAGGCACCCACGTTTCCTGTGACGCAGTCCTGTACTACAAGGACAAGGACAACGTCAACCTCCACCAGTAACTGACACTATAAAAATCTGTTGTAGAAGAATTGATAGAAGGAAATTGTCAGCGCCGATGCAGGAGAGAGCCACAGAATGCGCATTGTTAGTCCCCTAAGGTGCTGTTGAGCCATTAACGTTTGCGGGCGTGCCCAAGGAGTCTTATGTCCAACATCCGCTCTTACGTCTTGCCTCTGGAGGGTCCACCCACTCTGAACTCTGGTTTTGTACAGATCTAGAGGATAGGTCACACCTGCCGCAATCGTGCCTGCCGCTAGTCCTCCTGTTAAATCGCCAACGAAGGAGCTTTTTGTACTGGACGAAGATGAAGGTGTACTTTTCGATGTAGTTGTGCTACTAGAAGAAGGTGCACTTGATGTTCTTGATGCTGATGTTGTACTAGAAGTTCTAGATTCGACGCTAACCTCAGATGAATGTGGAGTACACTCCCCACATTGTCCACCTCGAAAACCTTCATACAGAGTAAAATAGAGTCCCAAGTACGGCACCCATGTCGCATTAGCCCAAAAGAAACCCCTGTAGAGAGACCGCAGATGCAAACCCTGTACAGTTTCTCGTGTCGAAATGCCTTTGGAAAAAGCTGTTTCTTTCACTACTTCCATAGGACAATAGACACAGTTTGATGCAACAGAAGCGGCACTTGACGCTAGTAGAGGGGCGAGAAAGGGCGAAGTGTGTGTGTCAGTATTTGTTGGTGAAGGTGTCCTATAATTTGTCGTTTCATCATGATCAGCATCGGCATCCTCAACTTCAACATGAATGTCGCCTCTGATCATGTCCTTGTTTGACCGTGAAAGCAAAGCCTCGTAAACTGTGTAGAAAATGCCGTTGGCTGGCGCGCCAAGAACTGCTACGGCAGGAAAACCTCTATAAAGCTGTTGTACGAGGAGCCATGGCTTAAATCCGGAGATAGACGAGGCAACTATGAATACAGGAGGAAGAGGTGGAAGCAGGCGTGTTTTTTAACAAGAGGTGTTGTTTAACAAGAGGTGTCAGGAGTTGAAGATGGTTGAAACAATACAGAGCAAGAGAAGCACAAGCAGATGACCGGTTGTATATCTACTATATATTGTTGAAAGGGCTAGATCTCTAGAGGTAAAAACTAACCGGTTGTAAATATACCCCCTCTAACGACCGGTATCTACTATATAAATTCTGCGACACAATGTGAGTGAGTGACTTGCTACTGCTACCATCCCCAAGACCAAAGAGTAGAGCGGTCAATGCTATCATAGTACAAGTTGTAACAACTTGGAGTACAAAGCCATAAAAACAGCAAACAATCCTTTCGCACTGCCCGTCGTCTGATAAAGGCACTTCAGGTGATCAAATGGGTGCAACAGAAAATCTGTGCTCAACCCAGCAAGCACACCAGCAAGAAACGCCTTACAACCTCCACGATTTTCTGTTTCCTCCATAATTTTATTGCAGTCGTACAGGTGGATAAATAGAAGATGCAATTCCAGGAGCAGTAAGCACTGGGCAACTGAAGTGTAATCGAGGTGAGGCTTCGGACAGAGAAGAGCTGGACGCTGCTCCAGTAGCTACCAGGACTAAGGCGAAGCCTCGCGGTATCTTCCTGGACTTGTTTTCCAAGCCGGAACCCGAGCAGAGTGAAGAGCAATCAAGCTGAACACCCTGTGGAATGAAGTAAAGTGCTTCATGCATGCTATTTGTTTCAGCGTGTTAGTTTGAGGACGGCTTGCATGCGCCAGGCATCGCGCAGTAAAACTGTAGTGTCGCACAAGGAAGCGATACACTTACTTTGGTCATAAAGAAGATGAGACGTTCGACTGTTTCGCTAGTCGTGTTCGTTGGTGGCTTGAAGTATGCAAGACAGCGCAGGAAAATTGTGTCTCGTGTGCCTGAGGCAACATCTTCAGCGAGGAGATGAATCATGTTGGTTCTTTCATTCATCTTGTTGGAAAAAACATTCTTGTTGGAAAAGTCTAGTAACTTGAATCACAATTTCGAGGATGTGAAGAAGCACAAGCTCTCTGGCAATGCCTGCTTCGGTGGACCTACATAGTGCGATGTGGGCCGAATGATCTTATTCCCATGTCGCTGCTCTAGGATGTGTGCGCACCACCCTGCTGTTCTTGCGACCACAAACAATGGCGTAAAGAATGGAATCGGAATGCCGCATTGAAAATAGGCACTGGCCGCATAAAAGTCTGCGTTGGGGTACTTGTTTTTGGTCTCCATCATGGTCTCAATAGCTTCACTGCAGTCGAATAACAACTTCGCAGATGATGGCGCGCCGCTTCTTGTAGCTAGACTACGGCTGAGTTCCTTGAAGATCTTGTTCCTAGGGTCGCCGTTTTTGTAGATTCGGTGGCCGAAACAAAAGTTAGAGGCGCATGGATCATAGAAGCGGAACGAGAGGCTCTGTAGAAGTGGTACAAAAGCATCAAACTTCACCATCTCAGGACTTCTACTTCGTTCACCGTCTTCATATGCCAGCATAACCATGATAAGTTGCTTCTTGCTGAGTTTGTCTTGAACTTGTTGTTTTGCATCGTCTACACTCTTCATCGGCTTCAACAAATGCATCACTGCTTCATTCGCACCTCCGTGTAGAGGCCCCCTCAAGGCTCCAATAGCTCCAGAGACAGCACTTGTTTTAGAAGTTATGGGATCTAGGAAACAAAGGAACCAAGGAGAGGACCGAATTTGGTGCGGCTTTCTTCCACAATGTATGTGATGTCAAAGTAGTACTCAAGTAAGTACTCAATCCAAGTTGTAGTCCTTTGAAATTATTGTAGAAAGTGATCAGTGTAAGTGTATGATCTTCAAAAACAACTTTTACGTGTCTTAATGTAAGTGTCCGAGAGCGTGCTCGTGATCACTCTGGCAGTGAAGGTGGACGCGTTAAAGTCATGCTCCGCGTACAGGATAAAAGCTGCATCGACAGTGCGGATCTGGTAAGTTAAAGTTCTTTTTTTTTATATTTTGATGTATGGTTAAGGTTGTATTTGTATCAAGACCAAAATCAACGTGAAACGACACTACATCAAGCAGTAACGACTACAGGATTTTTTCAAAAATCAGAGTAAAAAGTACATGCATCGGATCCACATCCTTAGTCTGCTTGAGCATCCTCAAGAATGCTTCAGCCAGGGTGCATTTCGGATCAACGTCGGGTTCGATTCTGACGCCATTCGTAGCAAAGTGGTGCCAATAGCAAAGAGCTGAGGTTAATTGTGCAATCAAAACCTCAGAGATGCCCTGAGCGTCATCTAAATCGTCTCCACTAGGCGCTTTCGCTGTACAACCTAGCATGCTACCGGCTGTCCGTTGGACGTCCATAGGATGCGCTGAGGCGGGGAGTAGTTCTAGCATCTTCTTCACTCCAGGACTCAAAGCTCGATAGGAAGCGAGCTTTGAGGTGTAGGCTTCGGCTGCGGGTTTGTGGGTTAGAAGTGGGTCGCTGAGGGCCAGGCCTTGTTTCCCTGATGTGACGACTCGAATCTACTCGGCAATCTGCCTAAGATTTCCCTGACGATTTCTCCCCGCTGATGTAAGTAAACGGAAACAAAGGCAAAGGAACTAGCACAATATACTTTGTCAGCCTTATTGTCAAAGGAAGTGATCCTCGTATGAGCAAGTGGGCGACTTGTTCGAAACAGCATTTGCTCGCCAAGTCCTCGATGGCGTATCCACGATAGGTGAGTCCAGCCTCATGCTTGCCGCCGACCGTCGAAACGGCTGTCTGATCGAGACAGACACCGTCTAAGCCCTTGTATATTTTGACGACATCTACTCTAGAAGCTGACATTTTTTGCATTTGCTACTTGAGTGGCCTGTGAAATTATGGAGGGTTTCTGTCTGAGTACAAGAGATACTTTGATATCGCGTTCTCAAAGGTTCCCAGCGGAGATTTTCTCCTCCCGCTTTCGCCATTTTTCCTTTAGGTTAGGTTAGGTGTGGGTCCACTAGATAAACCAGCAGACTTCAGTGGCTACTGAAGAGCCAAAAAGAAAGAAGATAGGGGCTACGGCCTACGGCTGGCACTAGTGCGCTACTTTCTACTTACTTCTAATTCTACTTCTAATTCTACTCGCGTTCTCAAAGGTTCCCAGCGGAGATTTTCTGCTCCCGCTTTCGTCATTTTTTCTTTTTCTGGTTTACGTCATTGCCGGTCCCATGCACGACAGAGAGGTCAATGACCTGTGAGGTCAGTTGTAGCAGCATAAATATTAGCCTCCTGGCAATGATGACGTTAATCTACTCGGCGATCTGCCTAAGAGTTCCCCGTTAGCCTCCCGGCAATATTGTCAATGAATGCCAGGCAAATCTCTGCGTCTTTATGTTGATCTTCCCATCATGAAAATGACTGTCACACGAACGTCTTCCATGTTGATGTATGTTCAGCAGGTTCACACTATGTAACACATCAGAGGCGGAGTTTTTTGATTCATGTAAGTACTCTCCGCATCATTCAACAACGTATGAGGCATTCCAATTCCTTGTTCGAACACGACTAGTACACACATCTAGTAAGTTTTTAGAAGAGCACTATGAATCAGAAGACTACATGCTCAGTCGTCGTCGTGTGTACTACTAGTGCAACTACATATTTGTATTTCTGCTATTTACAACGTTCAATACTAGAAAAGATCAGCATCATCGTGTATAAAAAAATTTATTCCCTACACACTACTTGTTGCGAGGCTCTTGTTTGATCATTTTTACTTGAAACAAGTAGAATATGTGGTTGAAAGAGGGACTTTTTCAATTGAACTAAATACGAAAACATGTCGAGATATCCTGCCTGGGTGTTCTGTTGTAACCTCATGCAATCGACTTTTGATAGCCGCATACTTGCCACCATTCACTTGCATAGACTTGAATTGCTGACACTGAAGAGTCTGCTGATGTTGAGGTTCACTTACTTCTTCATATGAGCTACGATTTCTACCGCTTAGTGCTATTTCAGAAATTTTTCCTTTCTCAGGAACAAGATTTATTGCAGTATACCTACGTCGACTTCAAGAACTAAACTTGATGATGTGCTTACTACTTATTTGTAATATGAAAAGATGTTTACTTACATCGAGGTTGAACTATTCATCTCTTCTACTAACCGCATACCCTAATTTTTTTCTCATTTTCTCACCCCAAATCTAGCACCATAGTCTACATCCTGCTCAAGCTAGACTCTTGTATTTCAGTCAGTAACTCACTTATTAAGGAACCTCCGCCTAGTCTACAACCATAGTCTACATCTTCCTACCATTCAATCTAGTAGATAAGCAAGTCTTTAGAACTCAGCATCCCATCCGTTCCTCGGGTCCGTATACGGGATGGTCGGTGGCTCCTCATCGGCCGCAGTTCCCCCGAAGTGGTAGAGAGGGTCGCTCGGTTTGCTTCGTGGGCGAAAGGGCGCTTTCATTAGAACAGGTTCTTGTAGGGCACTACTCACGAGGACCATGTTAATTTGATATTATCTCGTTGGAAGGGCTAAATCTCTAGAGGTAAAAACTCGCCGGCTGCTCTATTTAGTGCTTTGAGCGCCGCTGGACCTAAACCTCAACCTTATAGAAAGGGAAAAGCCAATCAAGATAGATAGGGAGAAGCCAATCAAGATTTGCATTTTAATTTGATATTATCCTCCAGATATGAAAGGTGATCTACATTTTCTAAGTTGTCAGTTCTCCTCTTGCTCTTCACTCAGATGACTATCCTAAGAAGTAAGTTGTAGTAAATTCTCCTCTTGCTGCTCATCTTCAGAATATATATCCTAAGAAGGAGAAGGAATCATCACAAGGAGATTAAGATGGTGTCTTCTTGTGGAGATATCATTGCCGTCCCTGTTGTAGAATGTAGATAACCAAAGGATTACTTAATCGTTTCACAGACTCCGTCAGAGGACAACAGAATCATACAGATGAACTTGCAGTATCAAAACTGAGAATAAGTAAAAAAGAACTACAAAATGCATGCTTGCTACAGATGGTTACAGAATTAATTTACAGTAAAGTTACGACTTCATTATTCATTATTTTTACTTATATCGAAATCATCCACCGTAACTTCAACGTTCGCTTTTCCAACAGCTCCCACTTACTCGCGTCGTAGAACGGATGCTGATACAGATTTTCACGAACACCGCCTGGTCGCATGCACATACGGTGCGAAGGATCGGTCTTACAGGTCTGCTGGATCAAGTCGACCGCCTTGGCAGGGACGGGCGTTAGAGGCTGGGCGGGAAGAGGGAAGAGGAGAAAAAGGATATAACTATGTATTTGAACAAGCGAGGAAAGTCGAGGATACTACAAGTACATGAACATGCGAGGGACGAAAGTCGAGGATACAACTACATGAACATGCGAGGAAAGTCGAGGATACTACAACTACATGATTGAACATGCGAGGAAAGTCTTTGTATCCGCTGTAACAGTCTCGTTCTTGTTTAGGAAAATTATCAAAAGGAGTAGAGGTGGTGGAAAAATAAAACGGACCGACGGACCATGATCAAAAAAAGTTCTTCAAAGAGAGACTTTTCGAGAATTCAATCCTGGTGTCTGTCATAATTCTCTCGGGAAGTCGTGTCGCTCCACACCACTCAGAATCTTGCGGTATCGCATCTGGGGATCGATGCCGTCAAATGGGGTGCGACCTACCAGGAGTTCGTACACCAGAATACCAAAAGTCCACCAATCAACGGCATTGGTGTGGCCTGTAGTTAGAGCTCATCCTGAGAAGCATTCTGCTCCCCTTTTCATCCCCTTGAAATAAAGCGTATTCAGGATGCTTCAGAGAGAAGATGGATTTCCTTTTCCTCGAGCCTTAATGTTGACTGGATGATTTCAGGCGCGAAATAGTCAGGCGTGCCACAGGTGGTGTAGGTTCGACCGATGACGAATTTCGCTAAGCCCATATCCGTCAGCTTGCAATACCCGGCTTGGTCGAGGCTGTGGTTGAGGAGAGGATCTTTTTTTTTTGATTTGATTGGAGGACTACAAACAAATTTGGAACAAAACGAAACCCCTTAGTACTTACAGCATATTTTATAATTCTCTGGTTTGAAATCATCTCCTCGGTAGATGGTTTTTCCAAGACTAAGTACAGCATATTCTCTGGTTTCAAATCTCGGTAGATGATTTTTCGGTCATGCAAGTGTTCGAAGGCCTTCACGACGCAGGCACTGTAGAAGACGCAATGCGGGACAGATCCATGGAAGCCGCGGCGACCGTACTGAGCAAATACTTCACCTCCCAGACAGGCCTCGAGGAGAAAGAACAGAAAGCCGGTGTGGTTGTAGGTACAGGGGGTTAGACGCGGGTTACGGGTTGCGCCGGGGGGATGAGGAACAAAAGGTCTTTTTAGACTCGTCGCTCTACATATTTATATGTAGTCGATCATGAAATTGAAATTGAATTTCTTGACTCAGGTACAAGAACCCCAACATAAGTAGAACTGCGCAATGAAAGGCGAGTTAGTCATCGACAAAATCTTGCGTTCGTTCAAGATCTGTTCGCACAGCTGCATCTTCAGCACGTATCCTTTCGACACCGCTTTCAGGGCGTACATCTGTTTCGTTTTCTTCACACGTTGCAGAGTGACCGAGCCAAAGCCACCACAGCCAAGCACACCAACCTTCTGGAGACTTTCAAACTTCGGCTTCTGGAAGTTGGAGGGAACATTACAACAAGCCTTTGCCGGAGTAGTAGTGGGACGATGATTGAGGATACTTTGCCGCTTGCCGGCCATCGCATTTTCGTTGTGCTGGAGGATCTCCCTGTTGATAGAGCAGATCATGGAGGAAAGTTGATGTTCTTCTTCTTGTTCTTGTTGCGATCATCATGAAAGACAAAAAAGGAGGGCCGCCTGGTAAAGTTCTTATAAGCAAGTTCAAACAATTCAAATAATTTTTTTGCTGTTGAAGACGGACCTCGTTCTAAAAATTTTGCATAAAAAATGAAAAAATGTCAATTTTTTCTAAGTACTTCAAAGGTCCCAAAATCTGTTCGAATGTCGATCGCTCGAGCACCAACAGAGACACAGACTGCGACTCTACCGTGATACTTGCATTACGCCGTTCTGGGTTGACGAGGGCTTGTTCTCCAAAATACTGACAGTTCTCGGGAGACGCTGTCAGAGTTGCGATCTTACCTTTCTCTTCGGTGGAGACGCCAACGGTACCTCGTGATGTTGGTGGGATCAAAGACAGCGTTGTACGAAGGCGGAGAGAAGTAGACAACGAGGGATCAAGTTGAATGAATTTTGCTGCAAAACCCGTCTACAACTTATCAATAAAGTAGAATTTATTTGCTGCAAAAGCAAAACCCGTCTTCTACATAATGCAGTTGTTCTAGACGATAGTGGAATAGTTAATCTTTATTAAAAAATACATAAATAATCAATATTATATAAAGTAGTACTTCTACTTACCTTGGTACATAATGTAGAAGGTATTTCCTTCCTCTCCTTCGCGCAATATTGTCTGGCCCTGCTTGTAATGGAGTTGGACAAAGCACTCGACCAATGCACGCTTTTCATCGGTCAAAAGCTCTTTCAACAATTCCGTCTTCTCCACCAAGCGCATGTAGAAATCGTTGCGCTGCTGCGCTTGTTTGCGAAGGATCTTCGTGCTTTAGAAGGGTTCGGCCTAGGGCTTAGGGTAGAACTCGAACTAGAAGGTCGGCTGGTGCAGGTGGAACAAGGTAGACGATGCAAGAACTGGTCATGATCATTAGAACTTTTACAAGGTGAGCCTCAGCATCATAATTGAAGTCATGGCGATCAATCACCCACAGCAATGAATCCGACAATGCTTCGACTGTCGCAGCTCGGGGAGCGTTGTACAACAGGGCCAGTTCGCCAAAGGTGTCACCAGCCTGAAGCTCACCTGCAATGCTTTCCTCCATCGATAGAGAACCGCCATTCGTCTGTTCATGTTTCACCAACTTGCGAACCGTGAATTTACCGGAAGAGACGATGTAGAACCTGAGGATTTGTAGGTCCTCGTCTTCGTCTAGGTCTTTTTAATCAGGACTAGTTGTAGAGTTTCTTGATGTCGGGGGAACATCAATCTACTACTTGTACTTACAACTTCTACTTGTACAACTAAGCAAAAAAATCAACTATCTGTACATATCCGCCACCAAACTGCCTTCCGTGACCACCTTTTCTCCTGCTTTCACGTTAGTTTTGTACGCCACAGCGATCATCTCCAGCATCTGGTCTGGGGAGAGCATCTTCGACAAGTACTTGTTATGATCCAAAGCCGTTCGGATCAGAATCTCATCTGTCGGTGTCTTCTTCTGAAGAGCTTCGTGGAGGTTAGAGAGGTTCTTGGGAAGATCTTCATGGGCGTGGTGTGCTAGTTGTAGTAGTACAGCTACAGCTTCCAAGTTCTTCAATCATGATGATTTTGTGGCAGTGCTCAAGGAGGTCTTCTTGGAAGCTTCATAGGTTCTTAGTTGATGATGAAAGTAAATCACCTGTCTCAAAATCTTTAATAATCCTTTTTGCAAGAGATAAGCCTAAATTTATAGAGGTGAAAACTAACCGGTTGTTTTACTTAGTGCTTTCGTTAATCTTTAATATTAATCTTCTTATTCTACTTGCAGCAACATCTTTATTTCATGATCTTCTTATTCTATTCGAAAAACTGAAATAACCGAGTAACTATTGAAAATAAGGGAGATACTGAAAGAAGAGAAACGTAGTCAAGAACAAGACTCTCTTATTTCAGTCAGTAGCTCGCTTGTTTTGAGTTTTTTTATTCTACTTGGGAGTCCACCTCCACATCACTACATTCATAAGTTCCTGCGCATTGCGCACTGGTTTTGCCGATTCGACATCGCCTCCATCGGCTGCTACTGCGCGTCGTCTCGGAAAGCGAAGACGATTGCGCACACCCAAGTCCTCAAACTTCTGTCTGGTGAGGCAAAGGACTGTGAGAACGCCTTGGCATGCCTGTGGAGTAGATGGTGCAGACGGGTCAGAAGTGATGAAAGGAAATATATAATTTCTTGATGAGAGTACTCTGGGAATCAGTGAAAGGAAACTACGTATTTGATGAGAGTCCGTGAAAGGAAACGTAAATGTATTTGATGAGAGTACTTCTACTGTAGAAGTTCTAGTATTGTTCGCTCCTTACAGTACCTTGACAGTCGCATTTCGCGGTGTATCTTCCAGCAAACTGGCTTCTCCGAAGTAGTCACCGGGCTTCAGGCTGGCTATTTCCACATTGTCCTTGTAGACTCTGGCCTCACCACTCTTGATGAGAAAGAATTCATTCCCTTTTTCTCCCTCTTGGATCACAACTTCGCCACTTCGGAAATCTTTTCTTTTTCCCTTAGAAGCAATGCGTCAGCACTGAGTTCTTTGATTGAGTAGCGTAAGCAGTAGGTTGCTTGAAGGCGGAATAAGTCTACGAGATAGCATCAATAGGATTAGGATTAGGATATCCGTGACGAAGGATCATCTTGTCCTTCTTGTCGTTGTCATATAATCCCTATGATCTTAATCAAGAGGTACAGCATGCAAATGCAAATCTACCAAGAACATTCACCTTCACGACACCATAACCAGAGCCGACACTACCAACGGGATGTCTGCCTTGCTGAGTCGACTGAAGAGAGGCACACGTTCGATAAAAACCAAATCCTCTGCGAATTGCTGATTCTTCAACCTGTCCTGCTGAAACGACTTTTTGCTCGGCTTCGTGTTGAGATACTTAACGTTAGAGGGGACCTAGTATCGCGTCATCCTGGTGACACAGACGTCCTGGTGAGGACGCAGTCCTCCTCCTCCTGGTGTAGACACGGTGACACAGTCCTCCTCCTCCTGGTGTAGACACGGTGACACAATCCTCGTCCTTGGCGATAATTTTCCCCTGAAGATACTTCTTGTTTTCCCCTTTCTTGGAAAAGAGCCAAGGAAAATGCGTAAGGTCTGGAATGAGGATGATCAACGTCCAGACCCGATAAAGAGGATGAGGAAGCTCTCTTGATGGTTGCCTTAATATCGCCCTGAAGGGCACTCTGGCAAGCGCCCATTTTGGAGGACGACGAGGACGAGTTTTTTCTTGAAGAAGAATATATGCGAAGTCAATGTACAACTAGGTAGGTAGGGTAGGATGAAAAACAAGAGGTGTTGGACGATAGTTGCAGGGCTACGAATATATCTGGACACGGAGCTTCAAGGCAAATCTGACACTAGCGAATTGAAGAGAGGCGAACCTTTCTGCACGCCTCCAACCAACACACAGATAGACATCGGCAGGCAAAAAAAAAGATCACAAGAGAGAAATGGACCCCACCATCTTCCAATATCATCTTGTACAGAGCTCGGTGGATCTTGTCCTTTCACTCCTCCTGACTCCGCTTCTAGAAGGCAAACATTTTCAGACACCGACGGAATCAAAATCGCTAAATATTGACTATTTCAAATATTGTTGTGTTTTTTTTTTTGTATACCTAGAAGTTTTACCATCCCATAAAAAACATCGCTTCTGCCATGACAGACTGACGGTGAGCATCGACATCTTTGGCTCTTGGTTTTCAAAAAAAAAACAGAAGTGCTCCAGTCACACCAAGCGCCTCGACCTTCTTTGACTTCTTTTTAGGGGACACGGAAAGAATGGTGCCGTGGAAATTTCTGCTCCTCACGCGTGCACCAGCTGTCTTCTACTTGAACTGTAGGATATTGTGACTCAGACTCAAAATCACGACTTCAGTTTATTCTTGTTTTTATGAATGTTCTGTACAATACTCGATATCGCGTCTCTGTACACATCTTTACTTGGCGACTCCTCTTCTGACTCTGTCCCTGTTGCAGAGGCTGAGGAGGCAGAAGAACTACGACCTCCAGGAGGAACGAAAAAGCTACTATCGAAACTACTACCATTTTGATTAGGAAACACCATTATGTGTGGATTTCTTGGTCTCGTAGTTGTCCTGTTGTTCCTTGAATTATATCGAGGTGGAAGTTCATTCACGTTCTCAATTTCAACATTGTCCACCCCAGCACTCTGTAAATAATTTCCTTCAACTCCCATAGGTTTGAATATATCCGAGACATCGTTCTTCTTCCTTCTTGCGTGGTCCCGTCTAGTTTTTACTGTTGACACTCCATCTACTGATAAGGATTCTGCTTCCTCGTCAGTGATCGCGTCTTTTAACCGAGCCATCCATCCTCCTTTACTCTGATTTCTGGACGAAGAGCCAGAACTGGAGGAAGCGGAAGACGAGGCAATTACGCTGATTAGAAATCTTGATGGAGGTAAGAGTATTCGAAAAACTGAAATAAGCGAGTAACTACTTAAATAAGGGAGATACTAAAGGAAGACGAATGTAGTAGTCAAGACTTCTCTTGTATTTCAGGCAGTAACTCGCTTATTTTGAGTTTTCGATTAGACAAAGAGGAGGACCTCTTCTATGTAAACAAGGATGAGGAGAGACATGTTTCTTGATGACGCATGAAAACGAAACGTTGATGAAACTCCAAAACAAACAGCTAAGACTAACACTAATCTATCACAACTATCTCTATCTCTACAACTCTCCATAATTCTATCCACGTCGTCTGGGGTGTCCGGTCTTCGGGTCTCGTAGTGTATTTCTGTAGATGCGTCGCCAAATTCACATTCGGACTAATGCGCAAACTCAATGCAGGATCTAGGACCTCGTTTTCTTCGCAGCAGGAACTTTCTCGACTACTGGTTGTGTGTGCTGGTTCTTTTGTACCAGGTTTCAGGTTTCTTAGCTTAGTAGAAGAAGAAGTACCAGTGGTCGATGCATTGTAGTTCTTGCTGGTCCTGTAATCCACCTGGTTGACATCCTCTTCCTCATCGAAGGATGGTGAACAGCTGCTTCTAGTACACGAGGAACTTCCACTGCTATTGCCACTGCTACTAGAAGTACTGTCGTCTCTGCTGCTATCAGGACCTTGCGAAGAACCAGAGCTGTCCTTTGATAGTGTTCTGGACGCCAGTGGTGGATAGACTTTGTTCACATCTTTTTTCAAATTTGGTTTTGCTGGACAACGATCTTGTTCGGTTCTTTCCACGGGATTCGTGGTGCCGTGGCTAGTCAACGCTGCAACCGCATCAGAAGTATCTGTTCGCCTCTCCGTGCTCGTTTCCTGTCCAGACCCGATTCTGGACAGCATATCTGCATATTTCGCAGCCTTGTTCGAACCCAAAATCCGACTTTGCAGGAGCTGCGTGATCACTGGTCGAAACAAGTCCTCTGCTGACTTGAAAACCATATCTTCGTCGTCCTCAACGAGGGTCTTCTCCTGCTCTACTCCCCCAGCGGACACGTCCTCTGTCGGCGATGCATTTTCTTTGTCTGCTTCTGGTGCGTTCTCCTGTAGAAGACATCAGGGTGATGCTGAAGATAAAATAAACTGTGTATTTTTTTTCTCAAGTAGGAACCACGTGGAGAGTAATATCTTCCTCTGCTCTTTCTTCAATGATGATACAGCAATTAGAAAATTTCCAGTCGCAAGAACGTGAGGTAGAGTATCTACTTCTTCTCTTTCTTCAATTTGATGATATGTTGATTACCCTGTCTATCCTTGCCGGTGCTAGCCCAGGACGGGGAGAAGCTTCCACCTTTGTCTGAACTATAGGCGGACTTGGTGCTAGCCCAGGACGGGGAGAAGCTTCCACCTTTGTCTGAACTTTAGGCTCCGCTTTCTCACTCTTCTTTACCTCGAATCGATTCGTCTGAACTATAGGCTCCGGGTTCTCTTCTCCTCTCCTCGATGGAGGTTTCACCTCTCCCACCGCTCGACCGAGGCCGAGTAAATTACCGAGGCCTTCGCTCTCAAACGTGTAATCTGGTCGATGTCTTGCTGTGCTAGAAGTTGTATTAGCAGGTGAAGCATCTTGCTGTTCGCCAACAAACGATGATGAGGCAGGCGTCTTGTTAATCTTCTGGGCAGTCGAGTACCCACGTCTTGGCCTCGACGTCATTGAACTAGTAGTACCAGTACGACCATTGCTTGTTGTCACGACACCCCCACCACCAGTACTAGTTGTATTCATCCGTGGTATATTCACATTGAAGTCGTTCTTTGCAGCGACAAAGAAACTCCTTTTAGGAAATCTCGCATCTAAAAAAGACTTCCCTATTCCACCTCCTGCACCTCCAGGATTATCTTCAGCAGCTCCAACACTATCGTTTTCTTTAGATGACGTCGCTTCTTTCTCTTTCTGTTGAAAGTAGTCAAACAGTAGCTGGTAATCCGCATGTGCTTTGAGAAATTCTTCCGCATCGCCGCCTTTGTCGGGATGGTGCGCAAGCATCTGCTTTTTGTACTCCCTACGAAGCTGTTCGCCAAGGCGGACGCGGTCGTAGCCACCGAGAAGAGCATCTGAGAGGTTGTAGCGCCACGCCGCAGCGCGAATCGAACCGGAGATAAAACCGTCGATCGACATGCTCTCGATACTGGATAAACCACGATTGGATGACTGCTAAAAAGAAGCGGATAAATTAACGGAGCAACGGAGAGCGGCAAATCAACGGAGAAACTAAGGGAAACGGCATCCAGGCGATCTCTTTAGCAGTCAAGACTGCTCTTTTTAGACCGTCGATCGACATGCTCTTATATTACCAGATCTTGACAGAATAAGAGTCTTGGTATCGGATAAAGAACGGGGATGAACACGTCTACTCTACCTGTCCGTGTTAGTTTTTTTTCTTCAATGTCGTGGTCGTGTTGATTTTTTTTGTCGCCTCTATATTTCACGTAAAAAGCTATCGCCTGGTAGGAGTTTTGTCGTCCAGCAGTCAGTACCTCCAGTACGTTTGTTGTAACGCCACACCTACACACGAAACTATAATCTTTTGTACAAAAGTATAAGTATAGCTCATTATACTTAATATCGGTCCTTGCTAATTCTAGTTCCAAGTCTTCATCTGAGAAGGTAAGAACTACTGCATTGGAATAAAAAGCAATTTTTCAATTCAATTCATTGGCGCGACTCCATCTCCCCATTCCTGGGCGTAGTCGACGAGAGCCACAAAAAACGGCACACCAGGCAGACGAATCTGCCATGTGGAACCGAGTTTGACACCAACAGCCCCCGATCTCTTATTCTTTCGAGAAAGGTCCGACATGAGGCATCACCGGAGCGTGTGGGCATTCGTGCTGGCACGCAGGCTTTTACGTCCAAAACACCGGTCCACGAGCCAAAGCGCGGGTGGCAGTGACAAAAGGAGCTGGGGCGCTGCTATCTATATATTCTATCTACTGCCAAGTTACTTGCAACATTCAACTAGCAAGGTCTTGGGCGCCCATCCTTCCTTTCCGACGCTAATTATACTTCTGTCTAATTATGCTAATCTCCTTAAGTCACCGTCGCCCATGCTTTCGGCACTACCAATGTCCTAGACGGCCCAATGCTGCGGTACTTGCTGATTTTTTGATTTTGTTTTTGAGAGTGTTAACTTGAGTGTATATCTTACTTTCCCTGGGATTCGTCGTCCCCTTTTTTGGGTTTGTCTCTTCTTTTTTTTCTCTCTGGACCGATTTCTTCCCACTTTGTTTTTGCGTGCTGCTTACCCTCGAACGCGCATATGCACTTCGTCCCTTTGCGAGTGCATCGTGCACACTTGCAGGGGCTTGCTACTCCATCCATCTGTCTATAGCTATCTCCGCTGTTGCTCCCCTGTTACTTTGCTCTTCGCTCCGTGCCCCTTGCCGATATCGCAAGATCCGCCATGTTTCCTTTCTCTACCTACATATCTGTCTTACCTACTTTGCAGTTTAGTTCAATTCTTCACTCATCTAGTTCCGCCCTATTTTGCATCTATCCTCTGCTTCACCACTCCTGGTCTCCTTGTTTCAATACTTCTTAATCGATTCGACTTTATTTTATGTTCGTTTGAACCTCTGCGCCTTCACTTTAATTAGTAACCCAGCTCTGCTTTTACGGATCATTTTCGCCTCCGTGGAAGTTCTTCTCTTAATGATCTTTGCGATTCTTTTTTCGATTCGATGATTTAATACTGGCTCCTCTCTTTGTCTTCCCGAGGGCTACCTCCTTTCGAGTGTTCCTCCAGGAAACATCATTCTAGATCGTGCTTTCCAGGACCATGAGAAATCAAATGCGACAGGGCTGGCCCTATAAGACAACCACCATTTGATATCCCTTCTCTTCATGTCAAGCTGTCTTTCACACGTGCTTACTCATTCGTTCTTCTTTTCATTGCTAGTGACCTGCATTCGCGGGGATCCTTGTGCTTACTTTCTTCTACCTTCACCTTCTTTGGGGTTTTTATCAGTCACTTCTGCTTTCAGTGCATCTATTTGTTTCTGGATGATATGGTTGTCTATTTCTATGTTCCGGAACATTCCTGGCGTATATTTGACCCCGTTGGGATCCCATGTCTCTGGTCTTCCTCTGTGAGCCGTTTTCACCATCTCCCTGTCAAATGCTGGCCCTGGCTCCATTTTCTTTTGCTTTGACAGTCCTATGACTTGCCGCACTACTTCGTCCCTAGCTTCCTTTTTCCACTCGTCGACATCTGGGTGCTTTTTCCTAATGAAGTCCATGGCATACTTGTCAGAGCCATATCCTTGTTTCCCTTTTGAGTCAGCTGCCTCTTCTTGTGCTTCCTCGACTTTTCCGTCCTTCGATCCAGCTGCTGTTGACGGCGCTATGGCTTTGTCATTGTCCGTGCTTAGCTGCACGGGGTCACTCGCATCATCTCGGATTTCCGTTCTTGCACGAGAAGCTACCGCCTTCGGCCTAACTCTTCTTCCTGCATGAGGTTCGTGCTCGTCCCTTTCTAGCACACCTTTCCTCCGCAGGTTCACCTTCCGTAATCGCTCCTTCCAGTCCATCGTGATTGCGGTTCAGCTTACCGGGGGTCCATTTTGTTGATTCAACCGCGCTTTATTCAGTTTTACCTCGATGGAAAATCCCTCTAATACAGCTGTTTATTTCTTTACGTCGTTCAGGTTTTCATTGCAAACGTTTGAGCATCCTACTTTTTGGATACCTCACCATTTTACTGCGGATCGCAAGACTAAAGACCCTCAGACCTCTAAAACTTTTCATTACCCGTTTTCGCCGCGGGAGTCATCTGATCGTTTAACTTTCAAATTGGGAGCTAAAGACCTCTCTTACTAAAATTCTCTCCTCGTCTTTCATTTCTCTTGTAGATCCGCTCTTTCCTTTCGTATTTTGTCACATAGTACGAACAGCTGTACTCACTCTTAGTCTTATTCATCGCTTGTACGCTTTACGGCGCGTTCTGCTCCCAGCGCAACGAGCTGCCACTCAATGTTGCTCAAGATAGACTTCATTAAGATGACACAAATATTATATTTTAGACGATATCTTGCTTCGAAGGTTCCAAGATTCCGAAGTTGAACATCGCCCTGCAAGGTGCCAACGAAGGACTAACTCGATCTTATGCAGCTTCTCTTCGTTCCTCTTCTCTACTGTGTCCGCGCTCCTTCCATACATCTCCTCTGCATGCCTGATTTTTCAGTGCTTCTCTTCTTTTTCCCGAAAACCACCATAGCTTGCATTCTCGCGGCTTGTGTCCCGATTTTACTCAACATGTACTCGGTTACTCACTACTTCTTCGGTTTTATTTGCGTCCTCTGCGCAACACAGCCGAAGTTGTCGAGGGCGACGAGCTGGATGAGGAAGACGAGGAGAAGAACGAGATACGGTCTTGGATCACCGGGCCGTTAGCCGCCTTGCCGCGCTTCTTCTCTTGAGCCCGCGCCATGAGTCTGCGCGGATTTGGCAACTCGCCCTCGATCGCCATTGCTGTCATCATGATGTTGTTGTACGCGACCATCGGGCCGATCGCCTTCGCGTACGCCACCTTCTCGAACGGACAAATACTAACCGCACATGGCGTGGAAAGTGGAGTGTACTTGTTCTCGTCCACATTCTGCTTCATGATGGCAGCATACTTCTCGACATCCTTAACATCTAACTCCAAGTCCTGCAGCATCTCTTTGGCGTCTTTGTTTCCCGAGAAAAACTTTTTCATCTTGCCCATGTTTTCCTTATTGAGTTTGCCCACGAGTTTCTTGGAGCTTTGGAGGATCTCGATGCACGGGATCGCGCGCTTGCGCACAGCCTTATCCTCTTCGCCAAAGATTTTCTGCTTCTCTTGCTTGTACTCCCCTTCGTACATCACGACGGCATTGTTGTGATCAGCAGCCAGCTGCAGATATTGTTCCACCAGAAGACGAATCAGCTCCGGCGTCGGTAACGTCGCACGCCGCTCAGGCGTGCTCATCCTCAGAAGCTCCTCTTTTGCAGGAGAGGTCTTCGTCGTGGTGCCATTCTTGTTCGATTCCGACATTTTGTTTTGTGCCTACTCCACTTTCTGAGAAACTCTGGCTTACGCAGGCTAACTCTATTTCTGATGTGAATTGCAGGATAGTAATACTGAAGTTTCATAAAAAGGATCGCCGTAGGAGTAGTAGAAGTAATTATGGCAACAGTCTTGTGGCGCCGAAAAGTGACTCATCCTGGGTCCTTGTTGCCATTGCTTTGTTCAGATGCATGACGATATGAAGTACATCACGTAGAATTACTCTCTGATGAGATGTTCTAGACCGTCTTCGTTTCGTTGCGCGTCAAAGACAACTACTGTGATCAAGGTAGGGCTTTGCTCTTCTGCCTTTGTTGTCTTTCCTCCACCGCAGCACGATTCCTATTTTGGGGTCCCTTTATTATAAAACAGCATCGCAACGCGCACACCCCAATCACGGTCACACAAACAGCATTGCAATGCAAGTTGCCATCTTTTAGTCGTCGACGCTCAATTTCTATAGCATTGGAACTTATCTCGGAAGTATGGATCCAGCTTCAGTCGTTGGACTTTCAATTTAATTCAATTCTCAATTCACTTCAATTCATTGGATTCCTGGACGTAGCCGACGAGCTCCACACAATACAATCAATAGTACAATTCGACTCATTGGATTCCTGGGCGTAGTCGACGAGAGCCACAAAAAAAGACAGCCTTCTATCGGAGTGTCGTGCGTGATAGTCAGGTCCGTCACGGCTCGTCCGTGCGCGGGCTCTCGCACCCTCTCCTAGTGTGCTCTCCTCGCGATCAGGGAACGATCGTTGCTCCTAACCGCTTGGAGTATGCTCTGCTGTACCTGCCGCACGATAAAGGTGGCCCAAGGGGAAAACGTTTTGCTGGTCGTATCGTCCACGTACATGTCAACTCCCCAGCGGCATTCCCTTGTACGTGATGTCACGAAGCGTTGACCTGCTCCACTCATCATTTTCCGCCAAAAATCCCGTGTCATTATGCGGGCTTCTATCTCGCAGAATAGGTTGAAGAGTAAAATCCAGATTGCGCTACTGAGGTCATATACTTGACATTTTACGAAGTTATCAACTGCCATTCCTTGAAACTCATGCCATACCGTCAGTACACATTTCCGCACTACTCTTACCCAGACGCGCGCCCATTCGTAGAACGGTATTACACTTGCGCTATGCCTTGCCCGCTTCGGTTCGTACAGATAGTGGCTGCCACATATCCACACGTACATCGTGCCAATGAGCCGCTGTATAGGAGGGCGCTGCGGTTGCATGTCTTTATTCCTACTCATCTGGGACACATTTTCCGTGTAATGCATATTCAATCCAGTTGAATCCAGTCGATGCGCTGATCCAATTCAGTCCATTTCAGTCCGTTTTTTTTGTAATGCGAGCGCGACTCCATCTGACTTGCGTTTTCACCAATTAACGTTCGATTTGGCCCTCCTTCAAAAAAAAAGGAGAGAATAGACAATATCCTAGAGGAAATGGAAAATGTCTTTTGGTTCCCTCTCGCCTTTTTTTTTTAATGCGCTCACCAACTTTGTCCTTATCTTTCATGCGTCGGACACCTTAGTCGTATTGCTACCTTATCACGCGATCCTCAAAGGATCCGCTCCTGCCTCGTGGTACCTCGTGTTCTACCCGTGTGACTGTATTGCTACATGCATTTATTTCACGTTTAACTCACTTCATTGCTATGGTCTCAGTTTTCCTTATTTTTGTCGACCTTAGATTCTCCATATTACTGAGATGTGCGAAGTTCTGAATTGCTTGTTGTTCTCATAAGAACGCATATGTGGCAATGGCAAATGGACGACCTGTGCAGACCAGTATTTCAGGTTGTTTTCATCTAATGTACATCGACATACTCTCCTTCCGTAGTAATGTTCATGTTCTTATTCGTTAGGCTATGAGTTTTTTAATTTCTTGGAATGATACAAAGTGTCGCCCCTTGTGCCATCATGCTTCTCCTTCCAAACTCATCCTCATCGATGTTTGCGCTTCTTCCGATCCTTTTCGAGCTTTCTGAGCAGCAGTTTCGTCTTCTTGATTTGTTCTCTCTCGTCGCTGCTGTTCGACCCTGCTGAGCTGCTTGATTCGCTTTCAGAGGTATCTAACTTCGTGCTACGTTGCTTCTTGCCCTTCTTGCGTTTCCTTCCTTCGAAGTCGCTCTGGCTGGCTGAGCGATGTTGTTGCGTCAGTGTCATGATGTTGCTCCGATGCGCAAGACTATTCATCTCGGAATACCCAGATAAGGCCATTGGGTGAGAGAATACACTAGTCGACTGAGATGCAGCACCGTTCCATCCCAGGATGCTGGGAAAGTGCGATGATGTTGCAGGTGTCCTGAAAGTGTTGTAAAATTGTTGCTGTCCTGCTGGTCCTGTGTTGAAGCTGAGTGCAGAAGAAGCAGACGTGGGACCTACATTCCGCATATTGACCGCACTTGGCTGAAGATCCCAAAAGGGGGTGCTCATTGGAGGAAATGGTGCTACTTGGTTGTGCAAGCTCCCATTCTCCAAGGCCAGCAGTTGCCGTGCATCTTCTATAGGCAGTTGCGGCGGTCGATCCTCATATCTATCTTCCTCCATCTCTATGATCACCGGTCTGCCTGCATCTCTTTCTTCTAACGCAACAAGTTCGTACCTCAACAGCCTCTTAGGGTCGTATTCCGGCGGTGGATGAAAGAGATTGCTCAGTCCATAGGCTTCCTTCTCAAAGCATTGTGCAATTCGTCCATCCTTGCCCTTCCATTCTTTGCCTAGTAGTAGTCTGGGTGTGTTCACACATACGTCGCTGAACGAGGCCGGGTGCGCCTTGATCTGCGCCGTGGTGAATAGTCGTGCATCGTGTTCTACTTTTTTGATCACCTCCGTGATCATCGCCCCTAGCAGTCCTTCTGCGTCATTTTCCACACGACAAGTGTGCGTATTGAAGTGTTGCAGATGAATGGTATGAGTGGTCCTACCAGGTCCTAATCTTACTCTGCAGATTACTTTGATGTGATTGCCGACATTGAAGTATGGAATTAGTGCTTTCAGAGAGTTCCCGTGCGACAAGGTGTGGATCATTAGCCAGAAGAAGTCGATGGGAAAGAAGTTCCATTTTCTCCCGCTGAGCGGAGTGTCGAGGGCCTTATCTCCTCCAAAGAGCGCTGGTCTTGGCCTCACCCCGACAGCAGCTTCAGGGCCTCTTCTTGATGCTCTTCCGGGGATTGCATGCATAATACCCCCGGCTGGTTGGGCTATCATCGGCACGTCGATGAGCGAGAAACCCTCTTGAGTTCCTTGGTGCTCCATGCTCTGCTGCCCCTTGCCAGATGACATTGAGTTGAGCTCCGTACCCGCTGGCTGCTGCATACTCTCCGTCTCTGGATTGATGTTGATGTTGTGAAATTGTACTACTTGCTCGTTCTGCTCTCCTCTTCGTGCAGCATCATCGTGTTCCATTAGTCCTAATGCCTCTATTTCTTGTTGCGCTGTCTCCGTCTCAGGTGTTTGCCTAGGTGCAAATGTACGAAAGCGCGTCGTGCTACTACTACTCTTATTGAGTTGAAATTCCTGCAACTGCTTGTCTGTATTATTCCTCGCTGACTCCACATTACAGCTCGTTGTTTCTTTTGCCTGATGATGTATATTCTTCGGCCGTTTGCTGTTTCCCTGTTCTTCTCTACTTCGGTCCCTGTACTCGTTTACCTTGCTGTCATTTCTCCTACGTTCATTCCTACTTCTCGATCTGTCTCTATTTGTGAGATTGCGCACTTGTCTTCTGTCGTCGTACTTCTTATTCGCTGGCATCCCATATTGTGATTGATGTTGTCGATCTTCTTCCGGTCTCTTTCTATCATACTTCCGAGTTCTGCTATCGTGACGCTCCCACTGGTTTCTTTCCGACTTCATGTTGGCTAGATGTGACGTACTCCTCCTTGAAGCACTAGAGGCGCTTCTCGCTTCCCATTGGTTGTTCTTCCCTACGATGTCCCTTACTTGCTTTACTGCCTTGTCCTGCTTTCTATCACTAACCTTGCTACGATCCATGTTAGGCTTGCTGCTCTGATGTGTGCTACTGCTTCCTCTGACCGTGCTGCGTGGGACTTCTACATTGCTTCTGGCCTGTGCGTTTGCTGTATCCTTCGTAGCCTTGATACTGTCTTCCATGCTTGAACTAGATGAGGTCGTAGACGAGGAACTATTTGAGGATGATTCTGGGGATGTTATCTTCCTGACATCTTGCGGTCGATCATGTTGCTTGATTCCCTCTCCTCGCGCCCTGCGATCCAGGACGTCGTTATTGATCGTTCGCAGCTGAGACATTGTTTCTTGCTGTCCTTGTATCTTGTTCTGTTTCCCTGCTGGAGTTTCTGCTTTTTCATGCCTTGCTTCTCCAGCGTCACTACGTGGTTTACCGTCCAGTGACACGGGATGCCGGAAACTTTCTTTGCTTCTGTCAACCGCGATGGGTTCGTTTCGCGGCGCAGCTTTGCTCTCCACTCCAGTTTTACTCTCCTCGCGTTTTGCCGTACCGCCTCTGTCCTTTCCATGGTCATGTGTCATGAGAACTGCCTGCGTATTCAGGAAACGCACTTTCTTCTTTGGAGGTGCTTGTTCGTTGAAGGCGACATTTTCTTTCATCTTTTCTTCTCTTCCCTCGCTCCTACAATTGCCACCTCCATCCTCGCGGTCGTCCACGATCCCTTGCTCCTCCTGAATCTCAGTGTGTGCATCAGTGAAGAGTAAGAGACATAACCAATTCTTCTCTTTAGGTGACTTAGCCTGTATTGTTTCTCATACCTAATGGATTCAGGGGAAGTTCAATTCAATTCAGCTCAATTCAAGACAGTTCTCCTGATGAAGGATGTTTCTGGTTCTCGGTACCTGCACTACCTGTTCACGCTTCACATTTCCGTCGTTGTCAGCTGGAAGTAACTGGGATTCGCAAAGTCCCTCATTATCTCGAGATTGTGTTCCCTGGGATAAAGGGGATTGTATCTATAGGATGTGGTCCTTGAGTTGACTTGAATGAAGTAGTGCTTTTGTTGTTTTCAAGTACATCCATCCCTTCAACAGTCCTTTGATCCCTCGTTGGAACAATACTACGCATTGGTGAACATTGATGTGCATCCAAAGAGAAAAAAAATGATCGTAGCCCTTACCTCTCTTCGGTTAAGATACACTTTCTCTCTCTTCTGCGACGGCTGCTCTGCGGAATGCAGGCGGGCGGGATTCTCGCACCTTGGTCCTGAAGGACTTGCCTTATCGGACATCTTTTCGTCTCTATCAGCGAAATCTTCACTGATTGGGGATCGTTCTATCGTCCTTTGCGGCGACTGTCTACCTGACCGAGGGGATTCTTGTATCTTTGATCGTGAGTCCTCTACTCCTAGATTCTCCGCTTCTTTCGATTGCACGGTTGCCGCTGAGGAAGAAAGTGTCTCTACTGACAGAGACCTGTGTTTTGGTGCATTGAACGTGCTTCCTGCATTGTGCGATGACGTACTATCGTATTGTTGGTTCTTGAGGTCTCCAGAGTGCGCGAGAATTGTTGTTTCTACTTGCGCCCTGGCAACTAAATTCACCGTCGCCTCTTTATTCGCTCTTTCCCCAGTGTAGTGCGAAGCTCTCGGTTCGGGTCGCGTAATCAAACAGCTACTGCTAGCAGAGGTGCAGGGTGCTTGTGACGATGTTGGCAAACTGCCTTTTTTGCCCTCGTATCGACGTGAAGGGTGGCCTTTCTCCTTTCCACCTATCCTGGAGTTGTTCCACGTGCTCTGCTTTCCTTTTCCATGCTGCTTGCCACGGTAAGGGCTTGGACTCCAATAGCTAGGAGGGGACAATATAGCCGGTGGTATTTGTAAAATACCCTTACCGTTCTTCGACTCGGCGGGCGAAGGTTGTGCCGGCGAGAAGGGGACTTCCGACACGCGTCCTTTGTATCCCTTCGCGCCGCCCATATGTTCAATTCATCCTTTAGATCACATTTCTCTTTCACGCGTTATACTGTGTTATCCTTGAGGAGTACGCGCTTACTTACATATTATTGCACAGCCTACTTCCGCATTTGACAAGTGAACTTAATTGTTGCGATCCAAGGAACTACATTCAGGAGCCTCTTTGTATTCTTCAGGAGAATACGAGATGTAATTTTCTTTGTTCGCACAATGGTTAGCAAGAAAAGGAGGCGTGTAGGGATGGCGTGCAAACATATTCCACCCTTTCTCTCTTCTCTCGATGTTTATGATTCCACTGAGCTCTAAGGCAGCTCTGCTCATCTCTCGATTCAGTTCATTTCAAGTCTCTCTTCAATCGAGATTGTGGCGATGCCCCATCACCTTGTGTTCGATTCAATTCAGTTCATCGACGCTTTTTCATTTTCAAGACCAATTCGCAACAACTACGGGCTGACAGTTCTTCTGCTTGCATTCTACCTGACTCTCGTGCTTATTCACCTTGATGCATGGGGTTGAACCTAGTTTAGTACTCCTTTGTTTTCAAGAAAACTCTTCGAGGGTTTAAAAGTTCCTTTTTGCATTAAGTTCCCTCTTTTCGCTTTAGTTCTCTTTGTAGAGCCCTCGTATAAACCCCTCATTTCTGTCTCCCATTCCGTTCATCTAAGAGGCATTCCTCCTTGCATCCTGAGCAATTGCTTTCTTCTCAATGGCTCACTCAGATGGCTTCGGCAGGATGAGGTCGCTTGCTGTAGCTCGGTGACCGGATTCACCTTGATTTTCCTCTTGGTCGCTGCAACTGATGCTACTGTAATCGAATTGAAACGGACTGTTCTGCGAACGCCGCTCCCGTAGATGAGCAGCCCCCAAGGTTTCATCATCACGCACTCCTTGTTGATGAGAAGCTTGTGTTGATTTGTCGGCTGGAATGTAATGCCTACCATCAATAGTTTTTCGCATTTTGAATATCGGGTGGATTCTCCGCGCGTTGCGCTTCCGATATGTCTGCGTTAACGGATCAACGACGTCCCCGTGGGCTTCCCGCGCAACATCCACGAGCTCGACAATGCGATTGTATTCATTTTTGTCGATCATCATGCCTTCGCAGTATGCTGCATGTGGCTGTTTACGATTTTCAGCTGCATGCCGTTCCGATCGTGCGTCCGGGAATACTAGTAGAATGTCGGCTGTTGGCCCCCTTATAGAACTAGCATTGCTGCAGCCGATTTCCTCGTTCCAGCAGTTGTCAGCACTGAGATCTTCTGCTGCTTTCGATTCGTCTTGAGCGTTGTGCGACAATAGATTGTCTCTAAGCGCCTTCCTAATGATGTTTACTGCCTCGTCTTCACTATGCCAGATGGATCCTAATTTAGTGAAGAAACTACTTTTGATTTTCTTGCCTTGTGAAGCGATGCTGGCCGGTGTTTCTTCCTCCACTCTTTCTTGTGTGACAATGTCCCTAATGGCTTGAACGAAAGCGGTTGTCTGTGAGATTGTCGGCATTTGCTCATAAAGAAATGGAACTGCGAGTCCTGAGCAATAATCCGCTACCAAGATGGCCATCCATGCTTGTTCTAAATCATCCACACCTTTCAAAAGATTCACGATCAGGGCGACGTGTAGCCTGGATGCCTCATCGCTCCTGATTAAAGATTCATAGAGCTCACAGTCAAAAGCCTCATCACTGCTATCCTCTGCATCTCGTAGTCTTCTCAACGATGCCCCTTTCACTTCGTTCGCTGCGATGCATCGCTCGAGCATGGAATACGCCTTGGCTTGGATGTTGTCCTCTTGTTGGTCCCTTGAGTGTCCCCGATACTTTAGCTTGGCGTGCAGCGCAGGAAAAGTGCCAGTCCTTTGATAACGCGGCATGGAGCCTCTTGGAGCTTGATGTCCATCGTTCGATTGCCGGATAGACCCTACTCGTATTTCACGGGGAGCTCCCACCAAATGTTCTGCTTGACCTCCTGTTGCTTTATTCTCTTGATTTTGCTCTTTGTGTTGAGCATCCCTGTTCATTCCGCCACTGGCCACTTGCGATTCGAAATGTTGCTTAGTCCCTGGTGCTCGTGCATCTAATCGTCGAGCAGGGTTGTTCTCTACTGCTTCCCCTGCTTTTTCTGGCTGAGGGCAAGCGAGAGCGTTTGACTGTTGGCGGCGCAGTACTCCGCTTTCTGCTTCAACCACTTCTTCCACCGTCATCCTAACTTCGTCTCCCTCACCCACAAGTAGCAGCTGAAAACTTGTTGCACCCTTGGGAATTCCCGGCGGAGTGATCTGCTGCAATACTATGGGCCTCGTTTTCTTACTCGTGGATTCGTCTGCTTCATCTGTTGTTTTGATGGTCACGGCTGCAAAAAAAAGATCGCTATTCCACATTGGGTTGTGCGGGTACGTTATACGTCTGGGATGTGCGTACCCTTGGAAGAACTGCTGAAGTAACATTGTTTTGAGGGCCTCATTTTGCATAGGCGTGGTGGCAGCTCCTCCTCTTTGCTGCTCCAAGATTATCGTTGCTCTAGCTACAACTTCTTGGATGTCTTCTTGACGTATTCCTGGCGGGGCTAGATGTTGTAGTTGGACTATCAGATATTGTCGGAGATGTGTAGTCCACCTGTTCTGGTTCGGCCCTATGGTTCTATATGCAGCAACTTTTCCGTCCATCAGGATGGAGGGGCCTAACCTCGTTTCATGCTCGAGCTCTTCATACAGGTTTTTCTCGTCTGCTTCGTCTTCGCTACTGTCCAGATGAATCGAGATTGGAATTTCCGACCCCGTGCTGCTATCTTCTGCTTCCTTCCGCTTCACGTTATATTTCATGTGGGTAGCTGTTATTATCTGGTCTGCATTGAAGTCACCTTGAATCACTTTGATTGCCACTAAGCATCTGCCGGTGAAGACCAAAAAGGCCTGATACTCCTCTCCCCGTTCGAAGGAGTATTCTGTTACCTTATCTTCTGGAATGCGAATGCTTCTATCTTTGGTTGCCGTCTCCGTGCTGCTCCTCTGCATTGCTTCCACTGTGATCGCCGCAAGTGACATGTAGTCGCAAAGCATATGCGTACTACTGATACCGTCTGACTTTCTGCTTTCTGCGCCGGCTCCTTTACTTTCGCCGGCTTTCTGATCGCCTCTGTTGAAGAAGTTGGAAATTATTAGCTCAACCAATGCTTGGATTTGCAGATCGTTAAATTTAGCACTTTTGTTCTGGACTGCAGCGGCGTCGACCACTGCGTGGATGGTGCTTCTGCACTCCGACTTGGTTAGTCGACTGTCTGCGTTGTCCACCACGAGTTGTAGCACCTTGCCTTTGGCCGCGGCTAAGGCGTATGCTTCTCCGCTACTACCGGGGGAGTTCCTAGGGACTCGTTCAATTTTGAAGGATGTGATGTAATCGAATTGTTGTTCAATTTCCAGGGACATTTCATCTACGATCGACTTGTACCTGTGCGGGTTATTGAGGGGATTATCTCCTTTGATCCCGCTTTGGTGTACACCCGACGACATTGCCCTCTTGTTGTGAAGCTCATTCTTCCTGCGGAGTCTGGGAAAATTGATGAGATGTGCACCTTTGCTCCTCTTGCCATATGCGCCCGACTTGTTAGCTGCTTGCATGAGAAGATCTTCCATGGAGATGTCTGAGTCGGATTCGTAGACCTTGTCTTCCTCCGTAGCTGCCATCGATTTGCCCATATCACCGCTTCGATTTTTATTCGCTTTCTCCATTTCATCGCTGCTTGGGATTTCTTCTCCGGGGAAGAGAAGGTTGTGAGTCCCCTTGTCTCGTTGCTTCTTCTCCTTGTGCTCGCTTTCATATTCGTGCTTGTGCTCCTTACTATTGAGTTGTTCTTCTTCCATCATGTGCGCTCCTTCGAAACAACGGCTCCCTTGTAGCATGTTTCCTTGCACTTGGGGGACTCCTTGAGCTTCTGCTACTGGTATTTGATGTTCTCGTTGATCGTTACTGCTACCAGAGGCATTTGAGTGAATGTTGTTCTTGCTCCTCATGACTCCTAATTCTGGCTCCCCGCAGAGAATAGCTCTACCACGAGAACTTATAGCAGTGGTGGGACAATCTTTTGCGGAGGACATACTTTTGATAAAGACGCGAGATAACTGCCGTTGCTTATGTTTGTGTGTATCGTTTTTTCAAGTTTTGTTGAGGGTCGAAGATATTTATTTACGATTTAAGTCTCTATGCCACTCCTAACATCTCTATGCTGCTGTATCGTGCGATTTGCATGCGACGATGTATAGTGTTAAAACCCTTTGAGTGACAATTTTGAATTTTCTATTTTGCACAGGCTACAGGTAAATTGCCTTTATTCATGAATAAAATGTGGTGCCCA